TTTTTTCCGAGACAGGGTTTCTCTGTGGCTTTGGAGCCTGTCCTGGCACTAGCTCTGTAGACCAGGCTGGTCTCGAACTCACAGAGATCCGCCTGCCTCTGCCTCCCGAGTGCTGGGATTAAAGGTGTGCGCCACCACCGCCCGGCTTGGTTTACATGGTTTTTAGCTATAAAATATTTTTTTCTTGAAACCTGTTTTTTGTTGTTTTGTGTGTGTGTGTGTGTGTGTGTGTGTGTGTGTGTGTGTTTTTAATGCCTTTGACATCTCTCCGAAACCAGCCAGCAAATATGACTAGCCATTTTTAGAGGATTGACAAGAACTTAGCACTGAGTTTTAATTTACACAGGGACACAAATAAAGGTATTTGGTTCAAAATGCACCTAAGTTCTTGAGTTTCTCTTTCTAGTTTTCTGGCAGGAGAAACCTCTAAAAATCATTGCCTTGAAGAATTTCTGGGAATGCCTAGGGGGAGGTGCCTAAAACTTATAAATACCTGCCTCAAGTGGCCTTCTCATTCTGGTTTCTATTTTGTTTTGTTTCGTTTATTTTTTAGGACTATCGGACAAAACCTTTTTGCTGCAGTGCTTGTCCGTTTTCCTCAAAATTCTTCTCTGCCTACAAAAGTCATTTCCGGAATGTTCATAGTGAAGACTTTGAAAATAGGATTCTCCTTAATTGCCCTTACTGTACCTTCAATGCAGATAAAAAGACTTTGGAAACACACATTAAAATATTTCATGCTCCAAACTCCAGCGCACCGAGTAGCAGCCTCAGCACTTTCAAAGATAAAAACAAAAACGATGGCCTTAAACCCAAGCAGGCTGACAGTGTAGAGCAAGCCGTGTATTACTGCAAGAAGTGCACTTACCGAGACCCTCTATATGAGATTGTCAGGAAGCACATCTACAGGGAACATTTTCAGCATGTAGCAGCACCGTACATAGCAAAGGCAGGAGAAAAATCACTCAATGGTGCTGTCCCCCTGGGTGCAAATGCCCGAGAAGAGTGTAACATCCACTGCAAGCGATGCCTTTTCATGCCCAAGTCCTATGAAGCTTTGGTACAGCATGTCATTGAGGACCATGAACGGATAGGCTATCAGGTCACTGCCATGATTGGGCACACAAATGTTGTAGTTCCCCGGGCCAAACCCTTGATGCTGATTGCTCCCAAACCTCAAGAGAAAAAGGGCATGGGACTGCCACCAAGAATCAGTTCCCTTGCTTCTGGAAATGTCCGGTCTTTGCCATCACAGCAGATGGTGAATCGATTGTCAATACCAAAGCCTAACTTAAACTCAACAGGAGTCAATATGATGTCCAATGTTCACCTGCAGCAAAACAACTATGGAGTCAAATCTGTAGGCCAGAGCTATGGTGTTGGCCAGTCAGTGAGACTGGGTCTAGGTGGCAATGCTCCAGTTTCCATCCCTCAGCAGTCTCAGTCTGTCAAACAGCTACTTCCAAGTGGAAATGGGAGGTCGTATGGGCTTGGTTCCGAGCAGAGGCCCCCAGCAGCGGCCAGGTATTCCTTGCAGACTGCCAGTACCACCTCTCTACCTTCAGGCCAGGTGAAGTCTCCCTCTGTGTCTCAGTCACAGGCTTCTAGAGTATTAGGTCAATCCGGTTCTAAACCTCCACCAGCAGCCACAGGCCCTCCTCCAAGCAACCATTGTGCTACTCAGAAGTGGAAAATATGTACAATCTGTAATGAGCTTTTCCCTGAGAATGTATATAGTGTTCACTTTGAAAAGGAGCATAAAGCTGAGAAAGTCCCAGCAGTAGCTAACTACATTATGAAAATACACAATTTTACTAGCAAATGCCTCTACTGTAATCGCTATTTGCCCACAGATACCCTGCTCAACCATATGTTAATTCATGGTCTGTCTTGTCCATATTGCCGCTCAACCTTCAATGATGTGGAAAAGATGGCAGCACACATGCGAATGGTTCACATTGATGAAGAGATGGGACCTAAAACCGATTCTACTTTGAGCTTTGATTTGACATTGCAACAGGGGAGTCATACCAACATCCATCTTCTGGTGACCACATACAACCTGAGGGATGCCCCAGCCGAATCAGTTGCTTACCATGCCCAAAATAATGCCCCAGTTCCTCCAAAGCCACAGCCAAAAGTTCAGGAAAAGGCAGACGTTCCTGTTAAAAGTTCACCTCAAGCTGCAGTGCCCTATAAAAAAGATGTTGGGAAAACCCTTTGCCCTCTTTGCTTTTCAATCCTAAAAGGACCCATATCTGATGCACTTGCACATCATTTACGAGAAAGACACCAAGTTATTCAGACAGTTCATCCAGTTGAGAAAAAGCTAACCTACAAATGTATCCATTGCCTTGGTGTGTATACTAGCAACATGACAGCCTCAACCATCACCCTGCATCTAGTCCACTGCAGGGGTGTTGGAAAAACCCAGAATGGCCAGGACAAAACAAACGCACCTTCTCGGCTCAATCAGTCTCCAGGCCTGGCTCCTGTGAAGCGCACCTATGAACAGGTGGAGTTTCCTCTGCTAAAAAAGCGAAAGCTGGAGGATGACAGTGATTCTCCCAGCTGCTTTGAAGAGAAGCCTGAAGAGCCTGTTGTTTTAGCTTTAGACCCCAAGGGTCATGAAGATGATTCTTACGAAGCTAGGAAAAGCTTTCTCACAAAATACTTCAACAAACAGCCCTATCCCACCAGGAGAGAAATTGAGAAGTTAGCCGCCAGTCTGTGGCTGTGGAAGAGTGACATTGCTTCCCATTTCAGTAACAAGAGAAAGAAGTGTGTTCGTGACTGTGAGAAGTACAAGCCCGGTGTGCTGCTAGGCTTTAACATGAAAGAATTAAATAAAGTCAAACACGAGATGGACTTTGATGCTGAGTGGCTGTTTGAAAATCATGACGAGAAGGACTCAAGAGTCAATGCAAGTAAGACTGCTGACAAAAAGCTTAGCCTTGGGAAGGAAGACGACAGCTTCTCAGATAGTTTTGAGCATTTAGAAGAAGAATCCAATGGAAGCCACAGCCCTTTTGACCCTGTCTTTGAAGTTGAGCCTAAAATTCCTAGTGATAATCCAGAGGAGCATGTACCGAAGGTCATTCCTGAGGATGCTTTGGAATCTGAGAAGCTAGACCAAAAAGAGGAGGAGGATGGTTCAAAATATGAAACTATCCATTTGACTGAGGAACCAACCAAACTAATGCATGATGCCTCTGACAGTGAGGTAGACCAAGATGATGTAGTCGAGTGGAAAGATGGTGCTTCACCATCTGAGAGTGGGCCTGGTTCCCAACAGATCTCTGACTTTGAGGATAACACACGTGAGATGAAACCAGGAACCTGGTCTGATGAGTCTTCCCAGAGTGAAGATGCAAGGAGCAGTAAGCCAGCTGCCAAAAAAAAGGCTACAGTGCAAGATGACACAGAACAGTTAAAATGGAAGAATAGTTCCTATGGAAAAGTTGAAGGGTTTTGGTCCAAGGACCAGTCACAGTGGGAAAATGCATCTGAGAATGCAGAGCGCTTACCAAACCCACAGATTGAGTGGCAGAATAGCACAATTGACAGTGAGGATGGGGAGCAGTTTGACAGCATGACTGACGGAGTTGCTGATCCCATGCATGGCAGCTTAACTGGAGTAAAACTGAGCAGCCAGCAAGCCTGAGGGGCCTGGCACACCCCAGCACATGGGCCATGTTGCATCTTGGACCTCTGATCTGATTGCAGAGTTGTCTTCTAACTGGCACTGCCTTGCAAGGACTGGTCAGTCAGGCTGTTGGGGACATATGACCACTACAGCCCCAGTGGTTATTTCTATGTCTATGACATGTGATTGGTTGATCTTGCTTCAGACCCTTCTCTGGTAGATTCAGTAATGAAGTGTGAAAAACCAATAAGCTGGCGGCTCATGAATGCTCACAGGGAAAAGCAGTTCATTGTTTGCTTTTCCAGCATTTCTTTCCCTTGGTAAGATGTTTGGTTGGATGTCCTGGGAAAGCCTTACCCTGATCACATAGTAGTGCAGGGCGGGCATACATGCTACCAGTCCAGTGTGTCTAGTAGGAACATGGACCTTTTTTCATGTATTCATTCTGAATAGTTGAAATGTATATTTGTACAGTCTTTTAGACCTCAAGTGATGCTTATGACACTGTTACTGTGTGCCCGTCATAGATTGGTTTTTAGTGTTGCCCTTGCTGTGTGATAAATGCTATATCTAGTTTACCTAGCAGAAGCTTGACCCTGCGATAGTATGGACCTTTGGACAGACATAGTTTTTGCACATAACCTTGTACAATCTTGCAACAGAGGCCAGCCACATAAGATATATATCTGGACTCTCCTGTATTATAGGATTTTTTTTTCTTGTTCTGAGTATCCTTGACATTACAGTTGTCAAAACTGATATTTCAGATCTCTTTCTGAGACCTTTTAAGCTAAAATAACATGCAAGAATTGATTTTACAGCTACTAATTTTGACACCTTTTAGATCTGTAAGAGTGTTGTGTCAGAGCCGCAAGCACAGTTGAGTGCTACATTTGGGATATTTAGTTTCCTCTTTAGTTGAGCACCGCTGGGTGTATTCATTTATACCATCTAATATATGACACACTGTTGTAGTATGTATGATTTTGTGGTCTTTATTTCCCTTTGTATTCATTTTAAGCATCTAAATAAATTGCTGTATTGTGCTTAATGTAAATATTTGCTTTTATTACACAAGACAGCCCTGTGTGTCCATTACATCTTACGCTGTTTGATGCCCCAGCACCCTGAGTAGAGATGGAAGCCACGCTTACGAAGAAAACTTGTGGGAAACCACGATCTGTCATTTGCCTAAAGCATGCTCTCTCCAGGTACCAGCTACAAATTATTTTCATGCGTGTGTATGTTTCCTTTTGCTGCAAAAGTAAACATCCTTGAGGTTTTCTGTTCCCCTTTGATAAGGAGTAACTTGGGTCTATGTAAATGTCGATGGTGACAGATATAAATATGTTGGCCTCTGGTGGTCTTTCTTCCCTGCATACCATTCATTCCCACCTTATGGCAACCGTTGTACCAAACAGACAACTGCTTTGCCTCTGGAGTCCTTTGGCCATTTTTGCCCTGAAAAGAAAGACTAGAGAGCACACATTTGGGGGCACTGGCACTGAAGGAGCTGGTAGATGTACTGTGTAGGGAATTCCAAGAACAGGCTAAATTCAGAGTGCAGTAAGGAGGCAGAAGTGGCCTAGCATTTAGGGTAGCACTTCTCTCCATACTGGGTCAGCCATCTCTCAGCAACATTGCCTCAGAGAACTCAGGCTACCTTCCAGGACTCCTGAACCTCTTTCCAAGAAAAGCTTTTAGTAGAAGAAATGTACAATTCTAGCACGAGCTTTCTGAAATCAGTCTTGCCAGGATACATTATGAATGTGTGCAGCAACTATGGTTCAGGGAGTATTATCTTCATCAGTACATGCTACAGACACCCAATCAGAAACACCAGCTGGTATTTAAGCCACCTCCCACTTCTGGAAATTTAGCCTAAAATGTGCAAGGAACACTAATGAGATGGTTGCAGGTAGCATGGAAGTGAGGTCGGGCTTGTCCTGTCTGGACATCATAGCTGAGTTCTGGTGCTGCCTTGCCAAGTGGATGGATGGGTGTGAGACCTCCAGCACCAAAAAGGGTTTAGCCACCACAGTGGAAATGGGTTCCCCGATGGAAATGGTGCCGAAGCTCTGAATGTGTCTCAATAAAAGCCATTTTGAAAGAACCCCATCACTCCTGTTTGCTTTCGATGGAATCTGACAGTCACTCACTTCACCACACAGGCTGCCACTTTGCACTTTAGAAACCGCCTGGAACTCTAAGCTTAAAGATTCTATAGATTTTTCTAAGAAATTTTAGTCCCAGAGGTCCTTGCCTTTTTGTGCATGTAATTTTGTGACTGTAAGTATTAGTTCACAGTTGCAGGAGACCGCTGTTTCTTTCCCTCTCTGCATCTCCCGTCAGTTCGTCCCAACTGTTAATCTGAAATACAAGTAGAAAGGGTCAGGGTCACTTGCCTAAGTAGGCATGGTGAGAGTCAAGTATTTAAAGATGGGGAATTCACCAGCTCAACCATTTGAAGAATTGAGTATTCTGGCTACTCATCAAGTGATCACTCTCACAAGTCCTTTCTCTGCTTCTACCTCACTGCCAAAATGGGGCCCAAAAATCTCCAAGTGGCTCTCTGCCCTTAGCGTGAGATGATGAAAAATCTCTTCTTAATGTTGACTGAACTTCACAGAGGATCATATTGAGCGGTGTTTGGTTCCATCCATTGTGACTTTCTAGCCTGCTGTTCAGAGCTAGTACCACCTGGAAGTCTGATTCAATACAAGGTGTGAAAGATCTGGAAAACCCCAAAGACTGGACTTAATGGGTGAGACAACATTCCAGCATGGCAGCTAGCAATTGGCCCTGCATCTAACAGCATCTCTCCACAACTGCAGGGAAACTGGCTTCAAATGTTACCCGGTTCTATCCTCAAGATTTGCCACTAAGCCTCTGACTACTTGACTCAAGTTTACTGCAGTGTGGTTTCAGGGTTCTGTTGGGAATGACCGGAGGTAAAGGTGGTCAGAGTACTCCCCCTAGGAATCCTCAGGTTGCACTTTCAAAGTTCTTCAAGCAAAAACAGAAAAAGACACCGTCACCATTCGGATATTGCCTTCATACAACCTTCCCCCTCTCCAGTGCAGCATCCGGACCTTCAGGTGTGAGACCATTTATACAAGTTTACAGTTTACAATCTTGTGTACCCTTAGGTCTTAGGAGGGAAAAAAATGTATGCCCCAGTAGACTGGTTTCCTTTTGGGAGCTAATAAAGTAGCTGGAAATAAAAGGGCATTTCCAGTGTTCTGGCTGCTAAGCCCAGTGTGACAGCTGTGTCCTTGGGGCAGCCTCCAAGATGTGCCTGCTGCTCTGGCTGCACATCCAGCTGCAGGCTGGCACCCCTTGTCAGTTTCTGGAGAAGGTCCCCCCTGACTGCCTCTAGTAGTGAGCAGGGGTGGGGTGGAGTCCTAAAAGCTGGAAGTTTGGGGAGCACCCACCCCCCCAAAGGCTATCCCACTGTGCTCCTCCTGACAAAAAGAGAATAATACTCCTTGGAAGGGAGGCCAGGCCAGGGCCTGATGGCAAGCTTCAGACAAGGGGAAACAACCCACAAATCCCCAAGGCTCCTAACCTCAGCCACACCCTGCAGCCTTGGGCTTGCCTGAAGATCTGTTGACTTAGAAAGGTTTCCCTGGCTGGGACTGGAAAGGTATGTCTAAACCCTCTAATTGAACTTCCTGCCTCCTGTTTGAAACCACACTCCTTTTCTGGTTTGGGGGCAAGGACTAAACCTAGGGTTCAGTCATGGAAGACAAGCTCCTCAGTTGTCCCCAATATCCACACTTTTTTTTTAAGGAAAGAGACAAGGTCTTAACACTGCATCCTGGCCTTTACCTTGCTTTTTAACTGAGGATGATCTTCAACTTCTGATCCTTTGCCTGCAGTTCCCAAATGGTAGGTGACAAACATGCACCAACCACCATGCAGATTTGTGTGATTCTGGAGATGGAACCCAGCATTTCTGCATGCTAGGCAAGTACTATGCTTGCTGTGCCATCTCCCCAGCGTGTACTGCCTCTGAGCACAGAGAAGGTAGAGGTAGATCTCAAGTTGAAGCCCAAGGATACCCAGACTTCATCTCATTTGAGGGAAAAAAAATGGTATAAAGGAAAATCAAAGTAGGGTCTAGGGCTTATAGTCCCATTTGAAGTTTTCTCCTTGATTCTACTTAGCAGTTGAACTCTGGTGTGGTAGGTGGCACTAGAGACGAATTGCAAGGTGAAGGGCTCTAATGCTGCAGCCCTATTCCTATTAAGTTGGCTTCCTTAGCAGTGGTGACCCAGGTTACCTCATTAACATACTTGAGGTCAGAGGATGACCGATGTCAGTTCTTTTCCTGGACTCCAGGGATCAAACTCAGGTCACTAGGCTTACTCAGCAAGTGCCTTTACCCACAGCCATCTTTCTGACCCCTAGATCTCTGAGATACCCAGGACCCTCCCTACAGGGAACTAGCTCAGCTCATGCTCAAGGAGACAGCAGTTGCCTGTCAGGGGGGCTGTCGTCAACAACAGCTCAGGGTCTTAAGTGCCCCGCCTTCATTCTAGGCAGACAGCTGTTTGTTAGGTGCATCTCCAGCACTATCCTAAGAAGGGGCAAGTATAGAGCAAAATACCTGAATTGACTCATTGCCTAGTGGAATGAGTTAGCCTAGAAGCCAAGAGCCACTACCACTAAGTAAGCACAGTGGACAGAACATCCTGACTGCCATTTGTTAGGTCCCTACCCTGGGGCTGAGGTGGAATCTATTGATACAAATCAAAAACAAGTTTGAGCCAGCTACATGTGAGCATCAAAGATGTAAGAGATGATGGGGATGCTATACTCTATAATAGTCTTCCGTAGTCCCTTGCCAGCTGGAAGTAGGTCTCCTGAGCGGCACATGCTGGGCAGACTTATGGCTGTTCTGGGTCACTCCATACTGGGATAGGTTGGAGTGCAATAAGTGCCAGGACAGACAGGTGCCAGCCAGAGTGCCAACAGCTAGAATTGGAGAGTGCATGTATGCAGATCCCACACCAGAGACTGCCCAAGTGTCTCTTCACCAGTTTTCTTGGAATAAGCGCCTTAGTGGTAAGGATGCCAAATCCTGCACCCACTGGGGCCAGGCAGGTGCAGGAAGACTGAAGGATCTGGACAGTTGTCCTAAACACACATAGGACTTTAGAGATGGCTCGGCACTGTAAAAGTGCTTGCTGCTGACTACTGAGAACTCAAGAATAAGGGCAGTGGGTTTTTGATCCTACTGCACGTACTGACTTTATGGGAGCCTAGGCAGTTTGGATGCTCACCTTACTAGACCTGGATGGAGGTGGTTGGTCCTTGGACTTCCTACAGGGCAGGGAACCCTGATTGCTCTTTGGGCTGACGAGGGAGGGGCACTTGATTGGGGGAGGGGGAGGGAAATGGGAGGCGGTGGCAGGGAAGAGGCAGAAATCTTTAATAAATAAAGTGCTTGCTGCTCTTGCAGAGGACCAGAGTTCAATTCCCAGCACCCATATATGCATGCTTAATAACTGCCACGTACCTGGGGTGTAGATACTCTGTTTCTTAATATGAATGTGCCCTCTGTGCAGGTGCCCACAGAAATCAAGTCATTTAGAGTCTCAGATACCCTGGAACTGGAGTTAGAGGTAGTTGTGAGTTGCCCAGTGTGGGTGCTGGGAAGGGACCCTTGTCCTCTGGAAGAACAACAAGCATTCAGCTGCTGAGCCATCTCCCCAGCCCTATAGATACCCATGTTATGTGGGCTATCCTGGTGGGGGTGAGGGTTGTTGGCAGATTCTTTTGGTTTGGTTTTTTTTTTTTTTTTTAGACGTGGGACGTGGTTTATCTGCGTTGCCCTGGCTGTCCTGCAACTCCCTCTATAGAGCAGGCTGACTTTGAACTGACAAGAGATCTGCCCGCCTCTGCCTCCCAAGTGCTGAGATTAAAGACTTGTGCCACCACTGATCTGCAGGCAGATATCTTTGAATAGGAACTTTTGATTAGGTGAGTGAAATTGGTTTTTGAATAGGAAAACACAGCAAAATATCTAAAAGGGAAGGAAAAAGTAATGAAAAGAACTCCACAGAACAGAACTACTGAGTTTTATCCTGAGAGCATCTCCTTCCTATGCTTTATCAGTTTGCCTATATACTACCTTTTCCTATCTTGGAAATATTTTTGTATCAGCTCATAAGGAACTCCCGATCTATCTTCACTCTGTAGCACCCAACCCTGTGAATCAGGACATGAACATTCCCCTTGGGGAACACTTGGGATGTGCTCAGTCAGTAGGGCACTTTCTAGGCATGCAGGAAGCTCTGTTCCATCCCCAACACCAAGTGAACTGGATGTCATCCTGGTAGTCAAGAGGAGGAAGAAGGGTCAGATATCCCAAGGCCATTCTTTGCTATATAGTGAGTCTGAGGCCAACCAGTCCTTCATGAAGCTGTCTGAGAAAAAAAAACATTTGGGTTCTGTCTTGCTTTTGCTATTTAATGCACAGTGGATAATCTTTTTATTATGATACTTGAATTCTAAAGATAAATCCAGAGCCTTGAACAGAACAGACTAGTCAAGTGCTCTTTCACTGCCTTTGGCTTTACTGAGACAGTTGCACTGTGTAGCCCAGGCTGTCTTTTGTTTCTGTTTTAAGGTCTTACTGTGCAGCCAGGTCTGGCCTGGAATTCACTATGTAGCTGGCTTTAAAATCAAAATCGTCCTACCTCAGCCCCTCAAGTAGCTGGGATCAGGTAGGAGTAACCATGCTCAACTGGCATTTCTTTGTAACGTCTGTGAGCTGGGTTCCTAGAGGTGGAATTCCACACAGTCCTCATTCTGGAAGACACTGCCAGTTGTCCACAAGAATGGTGTCCATCGCTGGGTGGTTGCACGCCTTTAATCCCAGCACCCAGCACTCAGCACAGAGGAAGGCAGATTGCTATGAGTTCAAGGACAGTCTGGTCTACAAGAGCTAGTTCCAAGACAGCTAGGACTGTTACACAGAGAAACCCTGTCTTGAAAAATCAAAAAAAAAAAAAAAAAAAAAAGTGTCCATCTTCAGGGATCATGATGTGACTGACCAAAATTCATCAGCAAGGCCATCAGGCAATTTAATCATGTCAACCTAGAAGCTATTGAGAGAAGTTAGAGGCAAGTGCCCAACCGCTAAGCATTCCTGGTCCATCAGTGATTGCAGGCAGGCAGGCAGATCTCTGAGTTCAAGTCAGTCAGGACTACATGAGTTCCAGGCCAGCTAGAGCTACATAATGAGACCCAACCTAAAAAAAAATTTTCAGAAAACTAGGACGACTAAGAGGATGGCTCCATGAGTAGAGTGAGGACTCCCCTGGATCATGTAACACCAGGTGTTGTAGTACACATATACCTAGGGCTCCTAAGTGAGGGGAAGTGGAAGCCGGAGAATCTGGTTCATGGCCCGCATACCCTAGCAAACAGCAGCAATGAAAGCCCCTGTTTTAGACAAGGCAGAAGGTGAGGACTCACACCCAGGGTTGTCCTCCAACCACCACACATGCTCCATGGCACGTGCACACCCACACTCACACCCGAGGAACAAAGGATCAAAATGGAGAGGCTTCTTAGAGTCACTATGGTCAAGTCCCTTAATTAGTGTCTGTACTTATGTGGAATGCCTGCTTAGATCCTTTGTCCATTTTTCTAATTTTTTATGTAAAATGCTGTTTACATATTCAGTTAAACCTTTCTAACATTAGTGTTGAATATGATTAACATTTTGTTGGGGTCAGAGAGATGACTCAAGCAGGTAACAGTGTTTGCCACCAGACCTGACCATCTAAGTTCACTCTCCAGAGCCTCTGCGGTAGGAGAGTATTGACTCGCACAAATGCTCCTCTTCCCTTTCTACTCAAGCTATGGCACACATGCACACACAATATAATAGTAAATGAAAGTAAAAATAAAGGTTTATTTTTTAAAAATATGTCAAGTGTGATGTGTAGCAGTTCCTTCCCAGATTGGAACATTTTGTGCAGTAGACAAACAGCTTAATAGCTTTAGGAAGTACCTGAAACTGACCAGATTCAGTAGGCGGTCCCTCCCAGAAGCAAGCAATAAAGACTGCTAAGAGTCACTCTCTGACCAGCCAAGCTACAGTGAAAATTCTTGAGACCAGCCCACCTACCTGAAAGAGGATGATCAGACCAACTGAGGCACCTGGAAAGGACACTGCAACTTGTGGTACTGCCTGTGGACTGTGCAGTGTGCTCCAGGTTCCCCCTCATGAGCTGTCACCTGTGCTGGGGTGGACCTTGGTGATGTGGCTGTCTGTGTCAGTTCTGCTCCTGTAAGTAACCCTATTACCCCCAATAAAAGTCATTGGTTCAACAATCAGGCGTTGGTGGAACTGTTCCTTTGGTCTGTGGAGGGCTCCCTTTCTGGGGTGAGTAGATGTGTATTGGGTCTTCCCAGGAAAAGTCTGTAACAACACGGCATTGGATCCCATGAAGCTTCAAACAGCTGGGAGCTACAGGACATGGGTGCTGGGAATCAAACTAAGGTCCCTGTAAGAGCAGTGGCAAGTGGAAACACCTAACTGCTGAACCATCTCTCCTGCCAGTAACCTTTCATTTGTTTTTTTGAGATAGACTCACTGTGTAGCCCTAACTGGCCTAAATCTTAATGTATAGACCAAACTGATCTCAAACTCGAGTCCCATCTGCCAGGCTCCTGATAGCCAAAATCAGCACTATTTCAAGTTTATTTATTGCTTTTAAAAATATTTAGCCACTCAGTGGTAGTGCACACCTTTAATCCCAGCACTTGGGAGGCAGAAGCAGGCTCGTCTCTTGCATTCAAGGCTAGCCTAGTCTATAGAGTAAGTTCTGGGACAGCCATACCTACAGAGAGAAACCTTGTCTAAAAAAGGAGGGGGGGTTAAATCTGATTTTATGTTTATGAGTGTTTTGCCTGCATGTATATCTGTGCACCATGAGTGTGTCTGGTGCCCACAGAGGTCAGAAGAGGGTGTAGGGTCTCCCAAAAGAAGTTACAGATAGTTGTGAGCAATCGTGTAAATTCTGGAAATGGAACCCACATCCTCTGCATGCAAGAACAACAGCTGAGGGATGGAGAGATGGCTCAGCTAAGAATACTGAACTCTTCTTCCAGAGGTTCGAAGTTCAATTCCCAGCAACCACATGGTGGCTTACAACCATCTGTAAAGGAGTTAAATTCATTCTTCTGGTGTGCATGAAGATCGAGCGCTCATACACATAAAATACATGAATAAATAAAAAGATAGAAAAACAGCTGGGCCAACTTTCCAGCTCCCAACATTTACAGTACAATTTAGGCCCTGCACGGTTGGCACGTGTCTTTAATCCCAGCTCTCAGGCGGAATAGGCAGGTTGATCTCTGTGAGTTCTAGGTCAGCCTGGTCTACAGAATAAGAACCTATCTCCAAAACAATAGGAACAGAACAGTATAATTAAGAACCAAAGTGTATCACGAATTCTAATTTTTAATAATAAAAACTCAGAGTCAGATATTAGTGGCAAAACCTGAAAGATCAGAGAAGCAGAGCAGCCAGCCACTAGAGTTCTTATCTCTACCAATGCTCAGACCGAAAGGTCAATCCTGTCCTCAGACTGCACTGAGCTACTGTCTCCTCCCACCTTATAATATTCCTCTCTCCACTCAGCCATCTCACTCCTAGACCTGAGATTAAAGGCATGGGATCCCAAGTGCTGGGATCATCTTTGTGTGAGCTCTGATTCTTTTTGAGACTGGATCAGTTTTGTGTAATCCAGGGTGGCCTTTAACTCACAGAGATCTTTCTGCCTTTGTAGACCAGGCTAGCCTCGAACTTAATAGATATGCTGCCTCTGTCTCCTGAGTGCTGGGGTTAAAGTTGTGTGCCACCACTTGGCCTGCATGTGCATTTTTTTAATTAATTTTGTATCTTACGTACATTGATGTTTTGCCTATATGTATGTCTGGTAGGGGTGTTGTTTGTGAGCTATACATGTGGGTGCTAGGAATTGTCCTCTGGAAGAGCAATCAGTGCTCTTAACCTCTGAGCCATATCTCCAGCTTCCTGCATTTTTTTTTTTTTGTTGTTGTTGTTGTTGTTGTTTGGTTTGGGTTTTTTTTTTGTTTTTTTTTTGTTTTTTTTTTTTTTTTTTGTTTTTTAAAACAGGGTTTCTCTGTAGCTTTTTAGGAGCCTGTTCTAGACCTATAGACCTAGTCTAGCTCTATAGACCAGGCTGGTCTTGAACTCACAACGATCTGCCTGTCTCTGCCTCCCAAGTGCTGGGATTAAAGGTTGCACCACCAGTGCCCTTTTCTGACCTCCTCTGGCACCAGGCACACACATAGTGCACAGACATACATGTAAGTAAAACACCCCTACACAGAAAGGAAAAAGAAGAATCTACACACAGACTGGAGAGGTGGCTGAGCGGTTAGGAGCACTGGCTACTCCTCCAGAAGCCTTGAGCCTTGGGTTCCATTCCCTGCCCATATGGAGGCTCATAACTGTCTGCTACTCTAGTCCCAGGGGATCTGGTGACTTTTTTTGGCCTCCATGGACACCAAGCAAGTGCACGATGCACAAAATTACAGGCAAAACACTCATAAAGAAAATGAAGCATCAATCAGATGCGGAGGTGCACACCTTTAGCTACAGCACAAAGGCCTACTGCAGGCAGGCAGGCAGGCGTCTATAAGTTTGGAGCCAGGCTGGTCTACACAGTTCCAGGTCAGCCAGAGCTACCCAGTAAGACCCTGTCTCATGACAAGGCACATGTGTGAGCATTTGGACCTCTAAGTGGAATTCCAGGTGTCTAGCCCAGGTGAAAGCTTTGTAGGGGAACCTGGAGGGCAAGGGTAAGAACTAGAAGCCCATCTGCAGAAGAGAGGCCAGCACCTTGGGACAAAGGTCTGTGAAGACCCATTCTGCCCTGGCCGGGATGGGTGGCCTCCGAGAAACACTAATACAGGAAAAAGGAAAGTTTTGCCTGCACGGTTGCCATCTGGATCCCAAGGGACCTCTTGACACCTTTATTGGGGTGACTCAAGGGACAGGGTCAGGCATAGGTCTGCCTGCAACAGCCCTCACCCCAGGCCCTGGCGACTAACAGAAAAGGCTTTTGCAGGCTAATTCATGCCTTGCTTCTCTGTCAGGTCCCATGGCTGCTTCCTAGCCCTTGAGGGAGGAGCAAGCATGCAGAGAAGAGAACCCAGCAGCTCCTGTGCAGTTACTTCACACTTAACAGTCAGGGGACTTCAGGCTTTGCCTCCCAGGCACCCAGAGGAAGATAGCCTTTTGTCCTGTATGGCTGGGGCAGCCCACATGTCAGGGGTGCTGGTCCCGCTGGCTCCTGGAATGACAAAAGCCAAGATGTCATGTCATAGTTGGGATCCACTTGCTCTGGTGCCAGGAGTTACCCTACCATCACCACCACCACCACCACCACCACCACCACCACCACCACCACCACCACCACCACCACCACCACCACCACCACCGGAGAGTCTCAGTGTGTTCCAGGATCTTGTACGGCACTGCCTATGGCAGCCAGAGCCATTCGCCAACACATCCAGAGCTGAGGCCACCAACGTGGGGACCATACCACAGCAAAAGACTCTGAAGGTGCTGGTCAGGACCAGAACCCCAAGTCTGACTGAGAAGGACCTGGAGAGACAATGTGAGTCTCCTGCTACTGCTTGCATTCCAGGCCAGGCCTGAAGACCTCGGTGTGTGTGCATACACTCGCATCCATGTGCATGATGGCCAGTGGTGTCTACAGCATCTGTCCCCAGGGACCCACTGTGCTCAAGACCGCCACCCTCGTGCTTTTCAAAACCGGAACTCCTCAAGTCCCACACAGCCAGTTTCGGTCTTGGCTGACTGTAACTTCGGGAAGACAGATTTCCCACCAGGCACCTCTTGCCTGGCTGGTTGGTGGTCTCCAGCAGAATATGAGTGCCAGGGCCAGGCCAGAGTCAGTGTCCCAGTTCCAGACTGTGCCGGGAATACCTTGATCCCTTTAGGGGCTGGGGTGGGCTGAACCAGGGTCTCTTGTTTCTGGGGCTGGTCTGGACTCCCTAGCTGAAGCTGGCTTTGAAATGCTGATCCTCCAGTCTCCTGCTCCCGGGCGCTGGCAATAGGCCAGCACCACCAGCCACCACTCCCGGATCCCCTGTTTCCTCCAGAAATGGTTCCACTAACAGGGAGACAGTCTGACTTCCAAGAGAAAAGGGAGTTGGACCTAACTTGGCTGGACCTCAGAAGCAGCCACGGGAGAGCCTGGTAGCTCGTGCCAGGGTCCTGCTCCAGGTCTTATGAGCTGGTTCGGCAGACTGGCATCAGGCTTTTCCTGGTAATGGGAAGAAACGCCATCGCTGGCTTCAGGAAGGCAGGAAAAGAGGGACTGGGGGAGGGGCGCTTCATCACCACCAAATGTTACACTCTGGAGCTTGTGAGTTTAAGAAGGAGGATCTCCCCAGAAACAAGTCCCTCCAACCAGGCTTTCTTTTTCCAAAAGGGTCTCCACCCTGGACACTAAGAAAGGCTATGGAGGCTGATGTAGCCCCATTCCACCGGAAGCAGCGCCCCTGGTACCATCTTGGGGATCATACTGGAGTGATCGCCATTCTAAGTGGTTGGAGAAGCTGCATTGGAGCAATCAAAGGTCTTTACCATGTCCTCTTCGGCCCCAAACGCCCTCCTGCAGAAGATGCAGGCCGAGAGTTGTCGTGGTCTGTACACTTCCGCTTCCGGGATGGCATCCCACTTACTCTTGGACAAATTCGCCTGGCCAAACTCTCCAGCAGCAGAGCCTTCCCTTGCCCACAGCTACTGGGTCAGATGAGCACGTGACCAGCCAGGTCCAATGAGAAGCTATCTTTGATTCCTCAGCCGGTCACTGGGTTACTCTCCCAGAGTTTGCAGGAGTGTCGCCACCCAGGGCCTGGTCACGAACGCAGCGCCCAGGGACACAGAGTGGGGCCATGGGCAAGACAGTGGCCAGGTATCGCTTTTGGAGTTCAAGACCCGATTCTGCCCCGCGTTGGAAGTTTTCCTGTTTGGGAGCCACAGAATGTCTTTGCTTCAGCCAAGTTGCTCTGAATCGGCTGTCACTCGAATCTCAGACTCCCGCCTGAGGCTGTAGGAAATCCCCCCTGGATGCGTAAAAGCCAGCTCCGCAGGAGAAGCGGGCAGGTCCAGAACGCTGCAAATTGCCTCAGCCACCGTCGGGGTGCAATCACCCTCTTCAGGCCTGGCAAGTGCGACGTCACCGAGGGAAGCCCTAACCATGAGTCTGGTGTTGAGCTCCTGCCTGTCACCCACCTGTCAGGCTCCTGGAGGACAGAGTCACAAAGCCACACCTCGAGCCCTGAGTTCCCCAGAGGGGACTACAGGTTGACTGCCAAAGGCTTTGGGCTCTGGCTCCCCCACCCCCACCCCAGACTCCCAGGCAGGAATGCTCCACTCCTCAGGGGTGGGCTAGGTCAAGACTAGAAACCTGACACCATCCTGCCCAGCACTGGGGCCTTAGCCTGCCTGCTGTTGCTGCGCCGGTGCGGGGGGGGGGGGGGGGGGGGGGGGGGGGGGGGGGGTATCAGCCCTGGGCCTATGCGCCATTCTTTCTCCACCCCACCCCACCCCCAAGTCCCCTACCTCCAGAAGCCTGCAAACCAGGCATTTATTTGCCTGCTCCCTCCGTGACTTCATAAAAAATGCAATTAATTGCCAATGGATAAAAACCAGATTTCCCAGAAACCCAACTGCAAGTTGGCTTCTCTTAGAAAATCATATGATCTGATCTGCTAGGGCCACAGACCCAAAAAGGCCTATCTGAGCAGCTGCCCTCTGACAGAGGCTCAGAAGCACCCCCCAACATTCCCCACCCCCTGGCTTCTGAGGACTGTACCACCAAGCAGCTCCTTTTCTCACAAAGGCCCCCAAATGGCTGTCCTACGGTGTGACAAGCCAGCCTCAGACAGTGAAGGGATAGGAGTTTCTGAACCTGTACTAATAGATCAAGCTGGGACCTCAGGGCCTTTGCTGTCCTCCCTCCCCCTCAAACCTTCCCCAGCTCTTCTAGCCCATCTCACTCTTGAGAAGCTCCGCCCACAATCCTGATCACAGCCGCTTTCTGTGCAGGCGGGGGCCAGCAGCTCTGTCTGCAAAGGGCCAGACAGTCCCTGTGCTAAGCCTTGTGGGCCATGTGGTTGCCGTCCCAACCACTGAACTCTGCCCTTGTGATCCCAAAGCTGCCTTAGTCAACCGATAAACACAGGCTCAGCTGGAGCCGGCATGACAGCATGTGCCTGTAATCCTAGCACTCAAGAACCTAAGGATTATGAATTTGAGGCCAACCTGGGCTACATAGTGAGGTCCTGTCTCTAAAAGGCATGGCAGTGAGTGTCCCTATAAAACTTTATTTACAAGAACAGTGCTGGGCCAGTCTTAGTCCCAGAGTTTTGCCCTCCTGAACAGATGGCCACACCCTCACCCAGCTTCCAGACAAGAGAGCAATGCATTGTGGGTACCAGGCACCACTGCCAGAGTGGGGGGTAGGCTGTCTTGCCAACTGGTCTTGGGCCTGAAGTTAATCTGCTCAGAGGCCCTAGCTTAGCCACTGCGGTCCCATGTATTCTGACTCATCGAGACGAGGCAGGAAGTCCAGGTCAATGCCAGCATCCTTAACCTTGAAATCCTCTCAATGGCCTGGCTCTGAGATCCCAGGTCAGTCCCTCCTACCCACAGGCCCTGGATCAATTCCCAGGAGTCAAGTTCCACTCACAAGAGCTGGAGTGCCAAACACCAGAATCCAGTCTCATTGCCTCCCAGGTCGCCAGGCACCCTGAACCAGGGAGCTTGAGAGAAGCCCACCCCACTATCAGACAATAGTTATCCTGACTCCAAGTTGGATACATTATACCTCAGCCTCCGAGCCCTCCTTCAGATAGAGGTTCACAGCCTCCAACCCTCAGTTTCCTCCTGTGCAGATGAGGGTAGTACCATCAAACTTACCAAGTCCACTTTGGAGTACGGTAATGATACTGGAGGTGCTGCAGCCACCTTGAGACCAAGAGGACAAACATCACACACTAAAGAGAAAAGAACAACGAGAAGTATATGTCCCTGGCTATTTCCTTAAGAAACCCAAACAATGGGGGAGGGGGAGGGAAATGGGAGGCGGTGGCGGGGAAGAGACAGAAATCTTTAATAAATAAATTAATTAAAAAAAAGAAAAAAAAAGAAACCCAAACAACTCAAATGGCCACTTCAGGGCTTTGTGCTACAGGTGGAAAAACAAAACATAGCTGGTTGAGCCACTTAGTGGGGTTTCTGTCGAGCCTAACTGGATTGCTGCTAGGACTCTTGTCATAATGAGTCACCAAGGCCACACAGGTGTCATGGCACAGGCAGGGCACTTGGCCTCCAGCAAACTTCTGGACCTGCAAAACAACTCAATAGGTAATGCATTGGCCGGGCAACCCTGATGACCTGAGCCTGGTCCCTAGAACCCACAGAAAGGCAGAAAAGTGAGTACGGACTCCTTCAAATTGTCCTCTGACCTCCACACAAGCACTGTGTTGCACATGGACACAAAGCGTGCATGCTCAGGTGCACACACACACACACACACACACACACACACACCATGTATGTGAATAAAAACTAATCTCAAAACTCAAAAGACTTGCTAGGCAGTACTGGCGCACACCTTTAATCCCAGCACTCAGGAGGCAGAGACAAGCAGATCTCTGTGAGTTTGAGGCCAGCCTGAGCTAGTTCCAGGACAGCCAGGAATGTTATATAGAGAAACCTTGTCTGGGAAAACAAAACAAATATCCCAAAGACTCAATAACAAATCTCAGCTCTCAGGGGGCAGAGGCAGGAGGATCACAGGTTTAGAAGCAGCCTGAGCTACAGAGATCCCATGCCCTGAAACCCAGGGCTGGAGGTAAGGCTCAGTGGTAGAGAACTATGCATACACAGGGCCCTAAGTTTCACTCCCAAAACAAAACAAACACTCAAGAGTCCAACAGGTCCCAACGCCTGACTGTCCTGCTTCTTCAAGCACTCAGAGACTGGCTTCTGGGGAGCAGAGAGAGAAAGGTGCTCAGAAAAGAGCTCCTCAGCCACCCACCACCCACGGGAACAAGTCCATGACTGTGATCAGGGCCAGGGCACCTTTCTCTTCCGCCTTCCTTATCTAGCCAGGAGGAAAAGGCCAGAGAAGTCCTGAAGGAGCACACTGTACAAAACTCGCAAGCTCCACTCCTCCGCACAGTGGCGAGCTCCAGCCAAGTTCAGAGACGCCACCAGAAGCTGGAGGAGGCAAAGACCTGTTTTGTTTCTAACACAATTAACTAATGCTGGACAGCAATGTGGTGTCCTGGAGCAGAAGTGGCCCCAGGGAAGGCAGCAATACCCATCCACCTCCCTTCACTATGGGGAGCTGCTCCCTCTGAGGGTTTCTGGATAACAACACCCTGACAGTAAGTACTACAGTTAATAGGAAAGACAGTGACAGCCCACGGGACACAGCGTGGCCATAGCAAAAAATGCTTCTCTAATTCTAAAAATGTATTAAAAAAAAAAAAAGCCAGGCTGGAGAGATGGCTTGGAGGATTGGAGCAGTTACTGCTCTTGCAGAGGACCCAATTGGGTTCCCAGCACCCACATGGTGGCTCACGGTCACCTGTAACTCCAGGTCTAAGGGATGCGACAGCCTCTTTTCCTCAAGTATCAGGCACACACAGTGTGCATACATACATGCAATACATGCAACACATTCATACACATAAAGTAAAAGAAATCTTTAGAAAAAATAGGTGTGTTGACTTGTTTTTTTTTGTTGTTGTTGTTGTTTGGTTTTTTGTTTTTTTGTTTTGCTTTTCAAGACAGGGTTTCTCTGTGTAACTTTGGAGCCTGTCCTGGAACTCACTCTGTAGACCAGGTTGACCTCAAACTCCCAGAGATCCACCTGCCTCTGCCTCCCAAGTGCTGGGATTAAAGGCATGTGTCACCACTGCCCGACTATGTGGGCTAGTTTTATATCAACGTGACACAAGCTAGCATCATCTGAGAGGAGGGTACCTTGATTGAGGAAACACCTTCATAAGATCCAGCCATATGAAAATCTGTGGGGCATTCTGTTAATTAGTGATTGGTGAGGGAGGGCTCAGCCCATTGCAGGGTGATGCCATCCTGGGCTGGTGGGGGTGGGGAGAAATATCAGTTGTGGGAGAGACGGGCAAGCTTCATCTCCCTCTGCAACAGGAGCATGAGGCCTGCGGGCATCTCTGGGCCATAACTGCACTGACTCAACTGGTGGAGCTGGCATTTGATTCCAGCCCCGCCTGGCTGCAGTGTCAGGGGCAGCCCTGGAGCAGCCCCATGGGGTTGGGATGAACTCTCTCCAGGACACAGAGGTCCCCTCAGCACTGGGAGACTATGCCCTTGCAGCCTCTGGTCTGCATTGTGCGGCACCCCCTATGGTCCCTGCACTCAAAGTGGAGGCAGGAGGATCAGGAGTTCAAAGCCATCTTTAGCGACATAACAGATAACAATCCAGTGCCAATCTCCATTCAGAAGCTCAGGCTGAGAGAACTCGGTGCCACATGCCACCAGTAAGCTCCTAGTACCTGCCCTGAGCCCCAAGGGTGTGGGAAGCGACTGCACTCACATCACATGGTGTCTGCTAGGTACACAGTGTCCCAGAGCTAGGAACTGCAACACAGGCATGCTTTTAATAAGTGAGACAGCTTGGGAAAGCTGGGACCACATGGCTGGGCTGGAATTCAAACTGGCCTCTTCCTGGGCCCTTCCTTCATGGTGGCATTTGCCTTTAATTCCAGCACTCAGGAAGCAGAGGCAGGCGGATCTCTTTTCCAGGATGGTGGTTGACATAGGACAGCAGCCAGGGCATGTAAAGAGATCTTGTCGCCAAAAAAAAGAAAAAGAAAAAAAAGAAACAACAAAATTGGGTTTTTCTGTGCTCTGGACCTGTCCTTCCTTCCTTCCTTCAGGGACCACATCCGGCTGTCTGGCTTGGAGCACTGGTGTCTCCTACTGGCCCGTCAAACTTGCTAAACTCCGTGACAGCTCTAGGCAGGTCCCTTCCTATTCACCACGAACCTCAGAGCCTGCCTGGGAACACTTTCACCCTGTAGCCACGGGAAAGCCATCGAGGTTCCCTAAGCATTGACCCCCAGCAGCCTGCACGGAAGGTACCGTCTCATCAGGCAGTTCTGGAAAGTTCCTAGACGCCCTGAAGATCTGCAGAACACTGGCCACTATACCCTGGGCACAGGGACAGCCAGGTATCAAGACTCCTGTGGCTTAGCAGTGTGTAATTCAACTTGGGGGTCACAACTTGTGCCCTAAGTCAGGTCCAGCTACCTGTCCTCACTAAGACAATTTGTTTTTCTAGACAGGGTTTCTCTGTGTAACCGTCCTAGCTGTCCTGGAACTGGCTCTTGTAGACCAGGCTGGCCTCGAACTCAGAGACCCACCTGCCTCTGCCTCCCTGGAATTAAAGGTGTGTGCCACCACTGCCCGGCCTCACTAAGCCAATTTAAAGAACCCTATTTAAAATGGAAAGTAAAAAAGATTTATTCAATGTGGCCACGCTGGGAAGAGGGACAAAGAGATCCAGCAAAGGCCCCCAAATCCACTGTTCCTGAAGGAAGATCAAAGTTTGAAGAGAGGTCAGGGATTCGCATAGCTAGGCAGTCCGGGCGGAGGTGGGCTCTCAGCCAGGTGTGGCCCATCCATCCACCACTGACCTGTTGGTGTCTGGGTTTCAGCCCCATCATCCCCTGAACCTGTGTGAAATCTCTTTCCGAGAGACACGTCTCTCTTGTGGCGGGCTTTTTTCTTCTCTCAGCATGAGGTTTCCAATTCTTTAGGGTCTGTTGCTTTATTAGTCTGGTAGACTGAGAAACACGAGTCTGCCCTGCCTGTTCTGGAAGGTGAGGCTGGCCGGGATGCACAAGGTCCTGGCTTCCCGTCCCTTCTTCCACCTGGAGACAAGTCCTGGGCCCCAGTGTTCTGTGACTGCAAAGAGAAGAAGAATCAAGAAAAAGGGTCCATGGGGCTGGAGAGATGGCTCAGCGGTTAAGAGCACTGATTGCTTTTCTTTTCTTTTTTTAAAAAAGAAAACAAACTTTTTTTTTCATTTTACATGCCAATCCCAGTTCCCATTCCCTCCCCTCCTCCCATTCCCTCCAACTTTCCCCCCCACTCTATCCTCCCATCCAATCCCCAGAGAGGGCACATTGCTCTGAGGAAGGACCAAGGCCCTCCCCACTATATCCAGGCCTGGGTTCAATTTCCAGCACCTGCCGGGCGGTGGTGGCGCACACCTTTAATCCCAGCACTCAGGAGGCAGAGACAGGCAGATTTCTGTGAGTTTGAGAACAGCCTGGCCTACAAGGGCTAGTTCCAGGACAGGCACCAAAGCTACAGAGAAACGTCGTGTCGGAAAAAAAAAAAAAATTCCAGCCCCTATATGGCAACTGTCTGTAACTCCAAGATCTGACACCCTCACATCACACAGACATAAATGCAGGCAAAACACCAATGCACATAGAATACAAATAAATTAAGAAAGAAAAGAGGTTCAGGAAATACTCCAAGTCCCCTTGACTCCCCAGGCACCCAGCCCCTCCCACTATAAGCCCTGGTTTGTCTCCACCACCTCACAGCTTTGTCCGCAATGAGAAGGCCATCTGTAAGGTCTTAGCAGTTATGCTCTGATCCTCTCTCATTCCCTGCACTTGGGAGGTAAAAGGTGATGTCATCCACCCTCTCCGTGGCCAAGTGACTTGGGGCTTACCTTACAGGAGGGTTGCATTTCCACCTTCAGATCCCCACCTGACAGCGCCTGCCCCCAGTCAGTCTTGTTTACTCCTCTTGCAAACGTCCACCCGACTGAACACGCACAGCATCTTGGGAGAATCTCCAGGGAGATCGGCCGAGACAAAAAGCCGGTCCCAGCAGATGCCAGGCTGTGGGATCCATTTATAGAACAGTTTGAAATGGTGACATTCTGCAAATGGAAGGCCGATGGGTATTGCAAAGAGTGGAGGAAGGCAAGGGGAGTCTAGAAGGTTGTCTTGGGGTTCCCTCTGAGCATCTTGACTCGGGTGGTTAAAAAGCGAACCAAATAGGGTGGCTTGAGATCCCAGCACTGGGGAGGTGGAGGCACGAAGGTAAGACTTTAAGGTCATTCTCAAGGGCACAAGGAACCTAAGGCTAGCCTGGGCTACGTGAGGCCCTGTCTTGAAAGACCAAAACCTGGTACAGCTACTGGAGATGTGAAGCAGACTACCTGGGGGTTGACCCGTGGGTGGGAGGTGGAGGCAGAGGTCAAGGCCAGAGGCACTCACAAATAAATAAATAAATAAATAGATAGATAGATAGATAGATAGATAGATAGATAAATAAATAAATAAATAGGCAAAGGACTGGTGGATTCGATGAGCATACAGGGATACAGGGTAAGGCTGGGCACCTGCACAGCCTAGTGCGCTGCATTTGCTGCAGGGATCAGGTTTGCTAGTTAAATCAAGCTGACCTACAACCCACTACGTAGCCCAGGCTAGCCTTGAACTTGTAATCTTCCTGCATCAGCCTTTTGAGAGCTGGATGGGATTCATCCGTGAGCTACTTCACTCGGCTTCCCAGGCCCCCCACAAATTGCACACAAATCCAAAACTTTCTGCAGCTGTATCCAGGCCACCTTCATGTCCCCAGCCCACCTAGCTCAAAACTCCTCCTCCTCTCTTGGATACCCCTAAGACAGGGTCTCACAGTTACCAAACTCGGCTCCTTTCTCTTTCCCAGAGCCCCTGTCCCTTCCTTGACTCTTCCCGAGGACCCGTCTCCCAGACACCGCTCTGCCTCCAGACCTTTGTCCCTCTCCATGGTTCTTGTCCCCCCCCCCCAAAACTCCTGACTCTGGGCCGGCAGCTGTCTTAGCAAAGCCCACCTCCACCCTGCACCACAAGGACTGAAAAAAAAATCCCCTGGCTTGTGAACGAATGGATGAATGAATATCTAGTAATGAAAAAGTTAAGCTTGGCCCAGCGGCTGGGGAAGGCAGGACTGAGGGAATTGTAGAACTCGGGGTGTGTGGCAGAGACGGTAGCCACCTTCCACTATGGATGCTGTCATTAGAAGCTAAGATGGGGAGCTGGTATGTGGAGGATGTTGCTGGGGCTGCCTCAGAGGCGCCCACCATCCCCCCCAAACCATCCTGTGTGGCTCACGGAATGAGGGCGGGAATGGCTACTCCAGGCGCAAAGGACTTCAGATCTGCCCTCTGGCCCCCGCCCACGGAGCGGTTAGCACCACGAGTGGGGTCTCTTCTCCCACCTCAGTGAACTGTGTCCCACTACCAAGATCCCCACATAGTAGCTGTCTCCTTCGTGTGTGTGTGTGTGTGTGTGTGTGTGTGTGTATGTTGTGTGCATGGTGTGGGGGGGGGATGTGAATGTGGGTAGGGTGTGGGGAGTGTATGTGGGTGGGGTGTGTGTGTGGTGTTTGTGTATGTGTATATGTGTGTGTGTGGTGAGTGTGTGTGTATTCAGGGGACAATTTCAGCCAGTTCTTCTGTCCGCCATGTGGCCCCACCGGGATCAAACAGCCCACAGACATGGTGGCTCGCAGACATGCTGACAAGCACCTTTCCCCACTTAACCATCTCTCTAACTGTGTGACTCTGGCCGAGTTACCAACCTCCGTCTCTGTTCTCAGCCAGGGCTGCCGAAGGCACCTGCCTCATGGAGTGTGATCCCCACTCAACCGCGAGGAGCTTAGACGGCAGCGCTCAGAGAATGCTGCTAATTTCATTACTGTTACAGCCCCAGAGCTCACGCTCAGCTTAAACGCCATCATTAGCTCGTGAACAGAACAGGTGTGTAGTTTTATGTTGTCGCATTTTTAGAATTAAAATGAATGAGAACACTTATACTAAATCACAGTTGCAGGGTTTGGTTTGGGCAGGCTTCAAGCTGTAATTTACAAGGCGCCTCAGGAGGATCTGCTCTGGGACATTTCTCAGCTGTTAAGAGGCTTGGCTCTGTCAGTAGGAAGGCCTCGCTCACAGGAGGTGCTGTCCAGACAGGGGGAGCAGCAGCAGGCCACCTGGGCAGAGTCATGCCAGGAGCATGCCAGCGGCTTCCTTCTTCCCTGTGGCCTCCCTTTCTCCCGAAGCACAGATGGACCACTGCCACAGGGGCTCCTCCTGAAAGTCCCCAGAATACACCCAAGGGATGTGCTGCTCAGGGCCTCTGCAGCAGGGTGCACACTGGCAAAGAATAGCCAGACATGGGCATGGAAGGGGCAGGATGGAGGCTGGGGAGCTGCGGTGCTCGGCCCAAGTCCCCGTGGGTACCTAGGGGTCTGGAGACGCAGCTTCCCTGCCCTCGCTTCTCATTCCATTCACTCCCGGGGGCTCCTGGGTTAATTATTAGGAATTTCCAAGTTACAGGAACTTTGGCCCTGACTCTGGGTCTGGCAAAGGGACAAAGGACTTGCCAGAATCGACACCTAGGGGACCTGATGCTAATGACAAGTTGCTTAGTTTTTCGGTAGAAAATTAAGCATGGACAAAGGGAACTCAAGTACCTCTGAGGCAATGAAGGAGCAGATCTCACACTATATGGGCTCAACGATGTCCTAACAAGGACATAAATTAGGGCTCGGGGGGGGGGGCTGTGTGTGCCTATGTGTGCCCACCTTGAGAACCTGTCCTGACCTGGTAGCAGGGTGGGGGTGCTGAGTAGGAAGTTGTAGGGTGGGAGTAACTCCAGCCTTACATCCTCCTTGGGAGGAACAGATTCCCAGATGGTCACAGGGCAGGGAGGAAAAACCCGTGTACAGGTCTATCTGCACACGTGTCCATGTGTCTGTCTGTAATGATCTGTCTCTTTAAGAGACAAGCCACGCCCACTCCCTCCCCCATCCACTGAGGCAAGCTGATCTTCAGCCTCCAGCCTGACTCTCTTCCATCTTCTTCTCTGCCTCTCCCGACTTCTCCCCCCCCCTTCTCTGCTCTTCTCCCTCCCCCTCCGTAACCTTAATAAGTATCCATCCCCACTCTGCATGGTGTGCTTATCCGTCTGTCCCTCACCCGCTGCCGCGTGGGACGCCTCGGAGACCAGCCACCTTCGGAGGCCAGGTCTTGTGTGCAGTCCCTGCCTAGGGACCCGCTGACCCCTGCCTGCCACCACTTGGGGACTCTGCAGTGTTTCCCCGCAGCAATTTTTAATAATCATTTCGTGTCCGTGTGTACATGTGAATACCATGGTATTAGAAATATGTTCAGGGTCACAAAGATAGAAACATCACTCCAACACAAATGTCAGGACCAGGCAAACTTTATTTGTTTGTTTGTTTGTTTGAACTCCTGACTCTGGGCCTTCTGGGTGGGCTCCACCCAATGGCCCTGGTCTACAAGAGCCTAGTTCTAGTTCCAGGACAAGCTAAAAACAAACAAACAAACAAACAAACAAAACACTACAGAGAAACCCTGTTTCGAAAAATCAATAATAATAATAGTAAAAAGATAGGGTTTCCTCTGTGTTAACAGTACTTGGCTGTACTGGAACTCACAGAGATCCACCTGCCTCTGCCTCCCAGTGAGTGTGTGTGTGTGTGTGTGTGTGTGCCGGAAAGCACAGACTGAGGCCGAAAGAGAACTGTCAGAAGTCTATTCTCTCCTCTCTGGCACTTGGACAAAAGCCAGCACCCTCTCTGGGAACCTGGGAAAACAGCTTCTGCCTGTCAAAAGGAAGCATTCTCCTTACCGGGTGCAAAAGGAACCTCAGACGCTTCCCTTAGCGCACACCTGCGGTGCATTAGCATATCAAGGTCTCCTAAACTAGGCTCCTGCAATCCCTGCTCAACAAGTACCCGTTCTGCACTTCAAAGTGCTCCACCCCAGTTTACAGATTCCCCACCTCCCAGGTACCTCTCTGCTTAAAACCCTGGAAATCTCCCCCCTCCACCCACACCCTTCTCTCTGCTTTCCTGAGAGACAGCCTTGGTGGAGGAGAATAAACTTTTCCCTGTTTACTTTTATTTTTTTTCATTTTTCAAGACACAGTTTCTCTGTAGATTTGGAGCCTGTCCTGGAACTAGCTCTTGTAGACCAGGCTGACCTCGAACTCACAGAGATCCACCTGCCTCTGCCTCCCGAGTGCTGGGATTAAAGATGAGCACCACCACTACCCAGTTTGACTGGAGTTGTGGAATAATCCTCTTTTACACTGTAAAGATTTGTCACTTGAATTGGTTTTACTAAAACACTGATTGCCCCCGGTAGCCATGCAGGAATTATAGGCAGGACAACTAAACTAGGAGAAGGAAGGGAAGAAGGAGCCGCCGAGGAAGCAGGACATGTAGAAAATGAGGCAAAACTCAAGAACCAAGTGGAAAAGCATAGATAAGAAATATAGGTTAATTCAAATGTAAGAGTTAGGGGCTGGAGAGATGGCTCAGTGGTTAAGAGCACTGACTGCTCTTCCAGAGGACCTGGGTTCAATTCCCAGCAACCACATGACAAACAACTGTAATTCCTTCACACAGACATACATGCAGGCGAAGCACCAGTGCACATAAAGCAAAGATAAATTATTAAAAAATAAGAGGTAGTAACAAGCCTGAGCTATCGGTGGAGCATTTATAATTTAAATTAGTCTCCGAGTCAGTTATTTGGGAGTAGCCAGTCAGGAGAGGGAAACTCTGGTTTTATTTTTAGACTGGAGTCTCATATGTTCAAGACTGATCTTGAACTTGCTGTGTAGCTGAAGATGATACTTGCAAGGTGCTGGGGTCACAGACACATGCCACCATGCCTGGCTGTGCATGCTTCTTTTTTAACGCAGAGTCTGGGGATCAAATTTGGACACTGGTGCTTTTGAGGCAAGGGCTGGCCAATTAACTGTTCACTTGGGGAACTACTACAGGAAGCTGGGGGGGGCAGTGGTGGGTCCCCTTAGCCCTGGGCCACTATCCGCAGCCATCAACCACCTGGACTGATAACCAAGGTGGGTGTCAGGCCTCCCAGGGGAGTCTGGCTGTGTCTGGACACCTTTCTGGTTGCCGCCCGTGGGTCAGATGCTCCAGGCATCCCAGTAGGGGCAGGGTGCTTTAATCAAGCAAGCTACCACAAAAGCCCCAGGCATCAGAGGACTGCAGCAGAGTTTTGGCACAGGGTGTTGCTGAGTGTGTCCCACCAAATAAGAAGATGGGGTACTTCTCAGTATGTTTATACAAACAGCCCCCCCCCCAAATAAAAACCCTTCATTGTCATCAAGGGCATCCAACTCGCGCTGCTCAACGTTTTAACAAGAACACAACAATGAAGAAATATTTCTGGACCAGTGAGGAGGCTTAGCGGGTAACAGGACTTTGTTGCCAAGCCAACAAATGGAGTTCCACCCTCCTAAGGCCCCACATTGTAGAAAGATCCAACTCCCACAAATTATCCTCCAAGACCGACATGGTGGTGGTGCTCACCTTTGACAAGGAGAGGCTGTGAATCTCTGTGAGTTCAAGACCCATCCTGGTCTATAAAAGCAAGGGTTCCATGCCAGTCGGGATTACACAATGAGGTTCTGTCTCAAAAAAAAAAAATGTACTCTGCCCACTACAGGTGTGCTGTGGCACGTGTCACTAACACACAAACACACACACATATCAATAAATATAGCGAAACCCCTCAAACACTACTTTTTAAAATGCCTTTGGCTCTAAGTCAGACTGCTCCCAAATTTCCCCCTCTGAAGTCACCACTCCAGCGTGGCTGTGTAGGAGGCTGGGTGCCGGGGAGGTGTGGGACTCTGGCCCTCCATCTTTGCTTCACTGTTTAGCCATCTGTCATGCCGCATTTTTACCACAAGGACTGCTGAGGGCAGGAGAAGGAAGCCGGTTCAGGGCTGCCAGCGGGCGCCTGGAACCTCTTCTGGCAGATTTGTGTTTGAGCAAGAGGCCTCCCTGCTCCAGCCCGGGCAGGCTCCACCCTCTGGCCCTCCAGGGGCCCCCGCTGGGGGGGAGGAGGGCCCCTGCAAAGCCTCTCACCCGATGGCTGGGGGAGGGGAGGGGAGGGACTCTCGGCTGAGCGCTCAAGGACGACTCCTACAGGCCGGTCAGGGCGAGGCAGCATTGCCCACGGCGGCCATTGCTTCCCTGCCAGCTCTTTGCAGCCCGATAAATAGCCAGAGCTGGAAGGCCCGCAAGGGCCTCAGACACTGTCAGAAATCTCTGGCATTCATCAAGTCCCTACTGGGTGCACAACCCTTTCCGGAGAGCACACGCCCTTGGTGGGTACTAGAAATGTAACTGGGCAGATGGTGACTTAGGAGAGATGCCACCCAAGGTTTCTCGGGGACTTCACAGCTGGGACCAAACCCTACCTGCCACTTGTCACCATGGACAGGATGGAGGCGGTGGTCCACCTCAGGGCAGAACGTAGACAGGGAGAGGGACACTGTGGGACTCATTGAACCCTGAGTCCATTCCTTATAAACTGGATACACCTGTTTCTGGAGTTATTACAGGAAGTCAAAAGCAGGGGCCAAGGCTAAGAGCTGGGAGGTGTGAGTGGGAGCTAGTATGGCCTCATAGACAGATGTCCCTTCCTCCATGCTCCTGGTCTCAGTGGCCTCTGCAGGGGTGGGGTGAGAGGCAGGAAGGTCAGGAGTTCAAAATCGTCTCTCGCTAATCTGAGGATAACCAAGAACTTCTGATCCTCCTGCCTCCACGTCCCAAATGCCAGGATTACAGGAGTGTACCACCATGCCCAATCTAACATAGGCTGGGGGTTGAACATGCTAGGCAAACCCCAATCTTCATATAATCTAAAACTTCTGCCAAGCAGTGGTGGCGCAGGCCTTTAATCCCAGCACTCGGGAGGCAGAGGCAGATGGATCTTTGTGAGTTCGAGGCCAGCCTGGTCTACAGAATGAGTTCCAGGACAGCTAGGGCTGTTACACAGAGAAAGCCTGTCTTGAAAAAACAAACAAAATAAAACAAAACAGAACAACAACAAAAAAACTCCTAAGTTTGAAGCCAGCCTGATTTGCATGACAAGTCCCTGGCCAGCGGGACTACAAAGTGAGTCCTTGTTTCAAAAAAAAAAAAAAAAAAAAGTCCTGATGTCTGAATTTCCCCCTTTCTAAAGGGGAAAATCTGGCCCCATCTCCCTACGGCTTTCGCGGTCTCATCCCTGAGCTATTGTGGCCAAAGCGTCCTCTCTCCCATCAGCGCCTCTGACCTCCTAGGCAGACTGGGATCTTCTGGCCTCCTGGTCTCCTCTGGCCCCTTTGGACCAAGGGTGAAAGTCCAGGCTAGGCCACTATGGCCAGACTGCTGTGTGGGAGGTGGGCACTGGCCCAGCTGGCTCTGCCCTTGGTCCCGGAGGTCTCCTTCCCTGGAAAGCGCCTCTCCTGGAGACAATTAATCAAAGTGACACCTCGTGAACAAGATATTTTGGCTTAGCAGAAACAAACAGAGGTTTACAACAAATCTGTGAGCTCCTGCGCCTTCAGCGCACCGGCTAAGGGCAGAGCCAGGCAGGCTGCGGCTATGGCCCACCGGCACCTGCCAGGGATTGCATGGCGACTCCATCTCCTGCACAGCTGAGGCTGCGCAGCTACAGGGCTGACTCTCAAAATCTCTCTCTCTCTCTCTCTCTCTCTCTCTCTCTCTCTCTCTCTCTCTCTCTCTCTCTCTGTCTCTCTCTCTCTCTCTTCACAGACCAGAACCTTCTGTGGGTGGGAGGCTCCTCGTCTGAGGCTGAGCTCTGGCCTAGTCCTCTCCTTTGATTGGACAAGAGGCCCAAATCCCTGAAGTGAGGGTTCCGGGAAGTTCAGAGCTTAGGGCATCCTTAGGAGTGGAAGTCTACGTGGACATCCAGGTACCCTGCTGAGCTCCAGGGTGAAAGTCTGTGCATGGTGCCACCCTGCTCTGAAGAGGATTCCACTCCTGCCCTACCCAGCCTGTCTAGCAACGACCAGTACATTCTAATGAGACACTCATGGCCCTCTCTCTGTCTGGCTCTCCGACTATTGAAAGAATAGACCCCGAGAAATAAACACGCGTTTATCATCCCATTCTGTGTCCCCAGCCCTTCCTAGAGGCAATCCCTGAGGCCCTAAGACCAGACTTGACCCCTTTAGACACAGCTGTTACTGAGTCTTAGCATCTGGACATTCCTGGTATCCTCCCAGTAGGATACAAGTTCTCAAGGTGTTGTAGGCTAAGAACAGGGTTCCTAGCACCCAACTGTGTGATCTTAGGCTAGTTTTTTAACCTCTCTGTGCCTCCATTTCTTCTTTTTTTAAATACATTTATTTTTATTTTACTGCATTGGTGTTTTTACTTGCATGCGTGTTTGTGTGAGGGTGTTAGATCCCCTGCAACTGGAGTTACAGACAGTTGTGAGCCCCCATGTGAGTGCTGGGAACTGAACCCAGGACCTCTGGAAGAGCAGCCAGTGCTCTTAACTGCTGAGCCGTCTCTCTAGTCCCATGTGCCTCCATTTCAAGTGGGATACACACAGCACATCCCTTGAGAGAAGTGGCAAGCCGAGGCCTAGGAGGCAGGACCCACTCGGTCCTCCTCCTCCTCCTGCCCCAGGAGACCTTTAGACACCAGGTTCTCTGCAAGCGCAGCAAGCGCTCTTAACCGGTTAGGCCTAGGGTGGCGTCTTTGTTTGCTTTTGTTTTAATTATTACAAGGAGCTGTCTCTCCAGCCACCCCACCTACATTTTTTTTAGTTTTTTAAAAAAAAGTATTTTAGAATAGCAGTTCTCTAAACCCCCAGCCTTACTCCTGGAGCAGGAGGAGGCCGCAGTGGGTCCTGCCTCCGAGGCCTCATTCTAGGGCCCGAAGGCATTGGTTTGACACTAGAAGCTGTGTCCACCCAGGGCAGGCAAGCGCGGACTTGAGCCTGCATGGAAGCTTGGCTATGGGGGAATCCGGGAAAGACAGAGCCATCTTGGAGTCCCCAGGATAGGCCTGGGGCTCAGAACATCAGGCAGCAAACACAGCAGCAACCACAGCCAAGTGACCCAGGTTCAGACCCGGGGTCTCTCACAGGCTCCCTGGCGAACCTCAACTCTTCACTGTTTCTTCATTCGTAAAAGAGAAACAAGGACAGGACTGTATTGTGGGGGTAGTGAGGGGCTGCAGGCAGCACCCTAGGAGCAGTGACAGCCTGGTGCCAGGGCTCTACACACACACACACACACACACCTGCGGCTGCCTTTGCCTTCCTTAGTCAAACCCTTGGGGACCACGGAACGCATCAGGGCCCCTGTGACTCACCTCCCTGGCAGGAGGCTTCCTGAGACAGGTCCCTACACGCAGGCCCTCTTCAGGAATGCTGGGGTAAAGCAATGGGGGATGGGGAGTGAGAGGTGCAGGTCCCAGCGTGAGGATCCTAAGAGCCAGTGACAGGAGAAGGGACTGGGGGCACTGGCCCCGCCCAGCTCTAACCTTCATCTCCACCCTCAAATTCCTCTGTGTCTGAGAATCCTGTGCAGCAGTGGGTGTGGTGACACAGGGGACATCACAGATGACGGGAGGACCCGGGCCACCACTGTCGAGACATTTGCAGGTTAAGAGTAACTCCCAAGTCCTTTGTCCTTTCCTTTCTGATGTTTCTCCAGAGCAGAGTTTCTCAACCTGTGGGTCATGACCCCTGCAGGGGTTGAACAACCCTTTCACAGGGGTTGCCTAAGACCATCAGAGAACACAAATATTTACATTACGAGTCATAACAGTAGCAAAATTACAGTCATGAAGTAGCAACGAAAATAATTTTATGATTGGGGGGTTACCACAACATGAGGAACTGTATTAAAGGGTCACCGCATTAGGAAGGTTGAGAACCACTACTCTAGAGCTACCTGTGGTCACCCAGGAACACAAACAATTCAGGGACAAGAAGGACAGCCTCTCATGACTTCTCTGTCACTGGCTGGCAGAAGGGCTGTCCCAGAGGATTTCAGCAGCAGCTCCTGGCCTTGAGTTAGGGATGGCACAGTGTAGCTATCACTGGCCTCCAGAAGTGAGCAAGCCTGCAAGATTGGGTGGGGGAATGGTAGGGGGTGCCAAATGCAAGCCTGGGTCTCCCAGATTAGCAGTACCACCTGGCCAAACAAATGCATTGACAGAGGCCAGATTCTGTAGCACTCGGTAGGCAGAGGCAGGAGGATTAGGAGTTTGAGGTCAGCAGATTGGAAGCCAGTAGAGACATAGGCTACATGAAACACTGTCTCCAAAAGGGGTGGTGGTGGTGACCCGGCTCAACTGGTAAAGGCTGTACAAGGCTGGAAACCCAAGTTCAGTCTCTGGAACCCATCTAAAGGCGGAAGGAGACAACTGACTCTATTATAATATTACCTCCTGACCTCCATGCTTGATGTGATGCACACGTGTGCAGACACACACAGACACACAGACACACGCACCTACGCTAAATGCAATAAATAAGAGATTGAATTTTTTTTTTTTTTTTTTTTTTTTTTTTTTTTTNTCAAGGCAGCCCTTTGCACACGTACACAGAGCACTCTGATGCCTTTGCTGGTTAATTTTTCTCCTCTACACTTTAACTATTCTTTATCTGTCTTTTTTTTTGTTTGTTTTGTTTTTTTGTTTTTTTGTTTTTCGAGACAGGGTTTCTCTGTGGCTTTGGAGCCTGTCCTGGCACTAGCTCTTGTAGACCAGGCTGGTCTTGAACTCACAGAGATCCGCCTGCCTCTGCCTCCCAAGAGCTGGGATTAAAGGCCACCACCGCCCGGCGAGACTGAAATTTTTTAACGGTAGCAACTCGTAGCTTCAAAGGTAGACCCTTTACCGGGTGCACGGACACTGCCAGACCCTTGACCCAGCGCGTGGACACTGCCAGACCCTTTACCAGGCGCGTGGACTCTGCCGCAGTAACTGGACACTGGGGATGGTAAATGAGCTGCTTACACAGCAGACAATAATACAACATGGATGTGGGGCAGGTGGGTGGGGGGAACAACAGAGCAGGTGGAATCCAAGGAGCACGAGGCCAGACTGGCCAGTGAGGCAGATGAAGATGAAGCCAAGGTTCTCTCCTGCCTGTCACTTACATGCCCTTGGCCTCTTCCGGTATAAAATAGTGGGGGCGGGGGAAGCGCCCTCCTAGGGACACCGCAGGGTGGGTACCAAACACAGCAGCATCCGAAGGGGGTGCGATAAGCCTGGCAGGAACCTGACCACAGCGTGAGGAGCAGCTACATCATCAGCTCTACTGACATACGCTGGATATAGCTCCGCCTTAGTGACCTGCGCACCAGAGGTATCGTGGGAATCCATGGGTCCCCACTCGATGTCAGTAGCACCCGGTTATTACAACCAAAGCATTTGCAGGCACAGGAGTAGGTTCCCCAGGTGTCAGCCTGGCTAGCTTCTCCCCAGTGAAGGGACAGGATGGTGCTTTCTTGTCTCCCTGGGGAGACCCCAGGGCAACGGAGATGAGGAAGGAAGGCTTGAAAGCCTGGATACCTTCCAGCTCCCTGGCTCCCATCGGCCGCAGACTGAACTGTGCTCAGGAAGGTGAATTCTGCTCATCAAAACCTGGATGTGTGACCCTTGTCCTTAGGCCACATGGGCAGCAAGAGGGCAATGCTGTTTCTGCTTGCCATGGCAACAACATCTGGCAAACAATAGGCCCTCGATACATGAAGGGCCAGGAGGATAGCTCACTGGGTACCACCAGGCAACCTGATCCTCACGTGGAAGAGAACCAGCTCCCATGTTGTCCCCTGACCTCCACGTGTGTGCTGTGGTACATGTGTCCCACAACTGAAGAAGCGAACAGACGGAGGTGGGTGACGTGTGCAGAAGAGAGGACCGGGCAAGGCTCCCAGACAGTCTTGTCTGCAGGGCAGAGCCAAAGTGCCCTTTGACCCCCTTCCCACGTGTTTCCAGAGGCTTCTCCTCTGCTGGGTCTGGAGGTGTAGGGGGAGGGGCTTCGCTGCTGAGGCAATACTCACTACTCGGGTTACTGAAGAAGGCCAGCCCCCTCCACAGGGCCTGTGGGAAGGCGCTATGGTCCTGCTTTGCCTGCCGTCGGCGGTGCGTGGGCTTCTAGGGAGGGAGCAAGGTGTTCAGTGGCTTGATCAAGACCTGAAGGAGCTAGAGGAGGCCATGTCTCATTGGCCAGCCCCGAGCACACTTCTAACCACTCCTAGTGGGCTCCCTCCACCCAGACCCAGACCCCCAGGGTTCTCAGACACCCTGCCGTGGCAGCATAGGCTGTGGACCCAACTGTTCCCACAGTGAACGTGTTGTCAGACTCCATTCTACGGAGGGCAACTGAGGCACACGTGGGACCAGGAGGTCGGCATCAGACCCACTGCTCTCCAGTTCATTTTCTGGGTCAGGGTCTCGCCTGGTTGACCAAAAAGTCCCAGAGATGCCCCTGTCTCCACCTCTCCAAAGCTGGGGCAGCAGTTCAATACCTGCTGGGAGGTCTTTAGTTCACATCCTCGACAGCCACAAATTCCCAGTTTAAAAGGAAACAAAACAAAACAGTGCAGGGGGCTGGAGAGATGGCTCAGCGGTTAAGAGCATTGGCTCTTTTTGCAGAGGACATAGGTTCAATTCCCACACCCATATTGTGTCTCACAACCATCTGTAATTTCAATCCTGGAGGATCCAATACCCTCTTCTGGTTTCCCTGGGTGCTGAGACATACATGTAGGCGAAACACTCATACACACAAAATAAAATAAAAGCATCTTAAAAGTAAAAAAACTGTGCAGGCTCAGGAAGAGTCAACAACTTAAGTAGCTTCTTGTCTTTGCACTTGTTCCAGGTGGGAAGTGCAAAGACCCACACAGCAGGGACAGGCTCAGTGAAGGTTTGGGGCCTCCCCTCTGGACATGGGGCAGACCCTCCTGTGCCTACCATGCCCTCAGCGTGCTTCTCCTGCTCAGTCTGTGACCTTCGACCTGCATTCTCAGGCGTGCCCAGCCTCCTTCTCCCTCCACCAGACCTCTGCCCCTGCTTCCCTGCCCCGCTGTCCTCTCTGCAAGACTGGAGTGGCCTTGTTTATCCTTCAGACCTCAGATGAATCTTTCCTTCCCCGGCGGCCCTCCCTGATCCCCCATGTGGACACGCTTTCTTCATCATCACGGTCTTGACACTCCTGCCCAAGTGTTTTCAGTCAGTGGGTTCTGGACACGGAGGAGCTGCTCGGTGAGGCTCACAGGACAACCAGCACCTGGGCCTGTGGGACGGCGAGCGCTAAGATGGTCGGCACAGACCCAGATGAACTCAGTATGGTGGAGCCTGCTTTGATCTGCAGGGCTGAAAGGCTGGCTCAGGTCCTACTGTGTGAGTGTGTATAGTGTGTGTATGTGTGTGTGGTGTGTGTGTGTGTGGTGTGTGTGTGTGTGTGGTGTGTGTGTGTGTGTTTGTATGTGTTGCCATTTGTGTGTAGAGTGTGTTTGCAGGTGGAAGTATGTATGAGTGTGTTTGTGTGTGTGTATGTATATGAGTATGTGTGCCAACGCACAGACGGCACCTTCTGACAGGCCTCTACCTTGGAGCTGCGGCCTCTTGGCCCACACATCTGGCAGGGACGCACAGACCGGAGCCTGGCTCCCAGCAGCCCTTTCCAATTTTACAGTCTAATGCTGGCTGGAGGCATCTGAAGGGGCCCAGGCCATGAGGAAAGTGTTGACAGGAGAGGACCCCAAGCCTGCCAGCGAAGGGGCCGTGTGCCTCCCCTGGGCCATCTGAGCCACAGGATGGGCTCAGGAACCAGCAACACTCCTTCTGCCCACAGCACAGGCCTGTAGGGAGGGGCTTGCCAAAGCCTCCCTGGTGGCTGGGGGAGGGGCACACTCGTCTCTTTGAAGGAAATGTGAAGATGGAGACCGTTACAGAAATCACAACTGGTCAGAGCACAGAGAATAACTGAATCTGCCTTCTCAGCAGGTGGACAAATGTACCTTTGTCCCTGAGCTGGTATCTGGCTCAGTTGGTAGAGGGCTTGCCTAGTGTACAAAGCCCTGAGTTCGATACCCAGCACCGCATCAACCAGGCAAAATCAGGATGCAGATACAGTGCCCGGGGGACAGGAGGGATGGCTCACAGGCACAGAAAATATTCTAGGGCTGGAGAGATGGCTCAATGGTTAAGAGCATTGCCTGCTCTTCCAAAGGTCCTGAGTTCAATTCCCAGCAACCACATGGTGACTCACAACCATCTGCAATGAGGTCTGGTGCCCTCTTCTGGCCTTCAGGCATAAGGCAGACAGAATATTGTATACATAATAAATAAGTAAATAAATAAATAAATATTTAAAAAGAAAATATTCTAGAAGGGTACTAGAATCAACTTTGAACAGGGTGCTAAGAATTCAGTCATCTAGCCGGGCAGTGGTGGCTGCGCCTTTAGTCCCAGCACTGGAGAGGCAGAGGCAAAGGGATCTCTGAATTTGTGGTCAGCCTGGCCTACAAGAGTGAGTTCCAGGCCAGGCTCCAAAGAGAAATCCTGTCAAAAAAAAAAAAAAAAAAAAAAAAAAAGAATTCAGTCATTTAAGACTGGGAGTGGCAGTATAAGCTGTGATCCCAGCATTCAGGAGGCTCAGGAAGGAAGTTGATGAGTTCAAAGCCAGCCTGGGTACATAGCAATACTCTGTCATGAAGAGAGGGGAGGAACGTTCTTGTGGCCCAGAACTTAGCCAAGTTGGCTGCACTCCTTGGGAGCTCCCAGAGATGACCAGGGCCGGACCTGTCACCTTCCAGGTCCTGAGTTTACAGATGCAATGCATGCTTTTAACTTATTATGTGGGATCTGAGGACCCAAGTTCAGACCTGCTTGTGAGTTCTAAGCCATCTCCCCAGCCTCACACCTCCTGTATAGCTGAGACTGCCTCCACCTCCTGGTGCTTGGGTTATATAATAATAATAGCTGTGCACTGTTATTCTGGGTTTGTGCGGCACTAGGGGTCGAACCCAGGGTTTCACACATGTTGGGCCGACATTCTCTCTCCTGGGCCACATCTCCAGTCCAAAGCCTATATGCTGCTTGAAGCCAGCCAGGTGTTGGCAGCCTGTTACCATAGCAACAGAAAATCAACATGGCCAAGTTTTGCTGAGTAGCTCTCTGGGCAGGACCATGGCAGACTGCCTCTCTCACTGTCACAGTGCCTCAATGGCACACAGTAGGTCCTCAGACCACGTCTGTGGTGGAAAAGCACAGGGCAGGGCTGCTGGGTCACTCCCCAGCATGGTGAGCCGGTTCTTCCAACCCTTGCCTTCCTCCTTTATATGTGAGCCACAAAATTCAAATGAATCAGCTATTCCGGGGCAAAGTTTTAATTATCTTCCCGTTCGGCTCTCTGCTGATGAGAATGCTAATTCTCTAAATCAGTATATGCACACGCTCACTCCCTCTGCACGCGGAGCCCAAGTCCCTCTAGCCAGTGATGGTCGGTGGGTGTGACCGGAAGTCCTGGCTCCTGGGGGCTGACGCTGAAAGCCCTCTGCTGCTTCTCTGGGGACAGGGTCTGCAGAGGACTGTCCGATGACATACATGTGCTGTGTCCAGGCTTGGATATGAGGAAGAGCTAAGTCAGTGGTATGGAGGGGACTGAGGGAGACTGAAAGGCTGGGCGGCCATCTTTATCCTCTCCATCCTCTGTCCTGTGAATGCTGCAGGATGCAGCCATGGCGCAGGAGAATAGTTCTCTGTCACCACGGAAGTGTGACACACGGGAAAACACACTAGACTGTGCAATTTGCGATACAAATTTAAAGAGCAATCACTGATGATAAACAGTATTCAAGTGCTTTAAAACGTGGCTCAGGCTGTGGAGATGGCTCAGTGGGTAAGAGCCCTGCACTGGAAAGGAAAGAACCCGGGTTCAAATTCCCAACCCCCATGGAAAGCCAGGTATGCAATCCCAACATTGAAGGATAGAGACAGGCCAGTCCCAGAGCTTTGAAAGACAGCCTGGTCCAGCCAATATGGTGAGTTCCAGGCTCAGTGAGAGACCCTGCCTCAAAAAATAAGGTGGAGAATGGTGAGAAAGATACTAAAAGTTCTCTGACCTTGCTTGTGCACACAGCTGGAGAGAGAGAGAGAGAGAGAGAGAGAGAGAGAGAGAGAGAGAGAGAGAGAGAGAGAGAGAGAGAGAAGAGTTCAAGTTGTCTGTGCTTCTGGTTTTTTCTCTTTTTCAAATCTATTTAACTGTTAATTATGTACCACATGTGCGTCTGTGTGGGGCTGTGCTAGTTAGCGTCTCTGTGGCTATGAAAAAACACTGACCAAAGGCATCGTCTGTCTGCCACAGCACAGCACAGTCTATCACCAAGGGAAGCCAAGGCAGGACCCTGGAGGTGGGAACGGAAGCAGAGACCACGAGGAACACTGCTTACTGGCTTGCTCAGCCCACTTTCTTTCATAACCTAGGACCACCTGCCCAGGAGTGGCATTGACCACAGTGGGATGAGCCCTCCCCATTGATCATTAATGACACGCCCACAGGCCAATCTGAGGGAGGCAATTCCTCAGCTGGGGCTGCCTCTCCCCAGGTGACTCTCGTTATGTTCAGTTGACAAAAACTAATGAGCATACGGGGTGTGTTCAAGTGTGTGCACATGTGTGTGTGTTGTATGCCTGGAGGATGTGTATATACAGATGTGTATGTCCCTATATGGAGGTCAGAGGAGTACACCAGTGTCTTTCTCTGTCCTTAGCCCTTGAGACAGAGTCCTTTACTGGACCTGGAGCAGGGCCAGCATCCAGCAAGCCCTGGTGGTCCTCATGTTTCTGCCCCCACCCCATCACTGGGGTGGCCATGCTTGGCATTTGACATGGGTTCTAGGGATTTGAATTCAGGTCCTTGTGTTTGTATAACAAGCATTCTTACCCACTAAGCCATCTCTCCAGTCCCCAAAATTTACAAAAGATGTTTCAAATTCATCCAAGGGAGCTCTTTCTCTCCTTTAAAACACACTGTAGGTTGACCTACCTGTCATTTGCCACCACCACCACTAACCCAGGCTGGCCTTGAACTTGCAACAATCTGCTTGGTATTACAGAAGCACACCAGCATAGAAGTTTGACTTAAAAAGATCTGGAAAAAAATCTTTCTTTCTTTCTTTCTTTCTTTCTTTCTTTCTTTCTTTCTTTCTTTCTTTCTTTCTTTCTTTTTGTTTCTAAGATGGGGTTTCTCAGTATAGTCCTGGCTGTCCTAGAACTCTCTGTAGACAAGGCTGGCCTTGAATTTACAGGGATCCACCTGCTTCTGCCTTCCAAGTGTCTGGATTTAAGGCGTGTGCCACCATCGCCCAGCTGAAATAAATTCTTGACCAGTCTGGGCTCTACAGTGAAAGATACTCTGGTTAAAAGAGGGGAGGGGAGTCATGCCAAGTAGAGGCACACACTTGTAACCCTAACTCCAGCACCCAAAAGGTGAATCAAGAGAATCAAGAGTTTACTCTTCCACGGCTACATAGTGAATTCAAGGTCATCTTAGGGTACCTGTCTCAAAAACAAAAAGCAAAAGCCAGAAACCAGAAAGAGGCCAAGGGCTGGAACTGTTACTTTCCCGGTATGCCCAAGGCCCTGACTTTATCCCCAGAACCAAACAAACAAATACACTGGATAATAGAAACAAGAACTGAAAGATTTAAGAAATAATTTTTAAAACCCCGTATTTTTCATTAGTTAAAAGCACTTGGCCAGGCTGGACAGTGGTGGTGCATGTCTTTAATCCTAGCACTTGGGAGGTGGAGACAGGCAGATCTCTGTGAGTTCAGAGGCCAGCCTGGTTTACAGAGCAAGTTCCAGGACAGACTCCAAAGCTACACAGAGAAACCCTGTCTCAAAAAAACAAAACAAAAAAAGCACTTGGCCATCTGAGTTTGATTTCAGAACCCATGAAAGGTGGAAGGAGAGAACACACACGCACACGCACACGCACACCACACACCATCCTCTTTGGACTTTGACTTCTCAAGACCACCTAAGTCTGTTGGGAAGCAGGCCACAGGCAGACAAGGGGCCCACAACAGCCCGTGTCCTCTGCACACAGCTCCAGCTGCCCCACCTGGACACACACATCACACATTTCTGTCACTGTAGGCTTAAGCAGTGGGATGTTTTCCTCAAACATGAGCAAAGTGTGACTCCGGATCCAAAGAGCAGTGTCTGAGTGCTCTTCCGGTCGTCACCACATCCCTTCAACGGCCAGGCTCTAAGCACCCTGCGCAAGAGCAGACTCAGGAACAAGTCAGATGCCTCCTCCCCTGCAGGCCCCAACCCACCCAGTGATCACCTACTGAACCAAGAATCAGTCCTTGCTCCAAACACCTGGTAACAGAAGTCCCAGATACAGACTCCCCCAAATCTCTTCCTAAGCCAGTTTCTAATGGATCAGAATTAATATTAATAAGATGATAATTATAGCTAATATTCATTAATAATGCCAACCAAATCACATGTATCCAAGGACTTCCCACACAAAGTACTTGAAGTATTGAAGAAAAACAGCCAGGGTTATCCATGTTTCTTGGTTTTCAAAGGAAGCTTCCTTCATCATAGCTGGGGTTTTTATTACTGTAAAGAGATACCATGAACACAGCAACTCTTATAAATGGAAACATTTAATTGGGGTGGCTCACTTAGAGTTTCAGAGGTTCAGTCCATTATCAACATGCAAGGAGCATGGCGGCATGCAGGCCTTTGTGGTGCCACCACACTGGGATCACTTTGGGTTGTTTTGTTTTGTTTTGTTTTGTTTGTTTAGGAGAGAGGGACTCTCTATATTGCCCTGACTGTCCTGGGACTTGCTCTGTAGACCAGTCTGGCCTCGAACTCAGAGCTCTGCCTGCCTCTGCCTCCTGGCCTGTGGGCCCCAGGATCCTTTGTCTCTGGCTCCCCGGGGCTGAGACACAAGCCCAGTCTACCAACTTGGCCTAGACACCCACCTCTCTGCCCACCCTAAGCAAGCAGCATTGCTAGAATCATTTCTATGGCCCAAGACCATCTTTGGCCAGGTAGTAAGTTCTTGTGCTGGTCACCACGGCTGCTGTGAGACACTGACCCTCCCCTATCCTCCGGCTCTTCCCTTCTTTCTGACCCCTCTCGCTTGATGTTCCCTGAGCCATGTGGCGGGGGTTGGTGATATGAATGTCACATTCAGTATTGAGGGCTGAGCACACGGTCATTTATTCTCAACTCTTCGGTTCAGCCTGTGTATTAGCCACCACCCTCCACCCTTCACAGAGAGCAGCTCCTCCAAGCACAGAGAGCAGCACTATTCTATGTTCAGGTAGTAGAAGGGTGGCTCCAGCTTGTTCCAGTCCATTTTCTTACATCCGTTCTCCATCCTTTCCCCCTAAGGACCATCTGTGGCGAGGTGTGCTTCTTAGAGACACAGACGGCTCCTGACTTTGGTCCACCTACAGATCTGTGTCTGAGGGAACAAGACAATTAATTCAGTGGTTACTGAAAGTTGTCTATGGATTGCTGCCATTTTGTTGGTTTTGTTGTGTTTGGTGTTTTCTTCACACTCATTTACTGAACTATTCCTCTGGCATGGCTTAGTCTTTCCTGTGGCCTCGTGGGTGGGGCATGTTTTTCTCTTCAGACTGTAGGATTCCTGCAAGTATCTATCCTGGGTAGAGTTGGCTCAAGGGTCACAATTTGCCTGAGATTTTTGTTTTCCTCAGAAGGGTGGTTGGTGGTGGCTTTTCCTTGGTTAATAACATTGGGTTTGTGCTTTTTCCCTTTTCAGTTCTTGTGGCTATCTTTGCTGGGTATAGTACTCAGGTTGACAGCTCTCTCTCTCTCTTTTTTTTTTTTTTTTTTAAGTTTTTCGTGACATGGTTTCTCTGTAGCTTTGGAGCCTGTCCTGGCACTAACTCTTGTAGATCAGGCTGGCCTCGAACTCACAGAGATCCGCCTGCCTCTGCCTCCCGAGTGCTGGGATTAAAGGCATGCGCCACCACTGCCCGGTGACAGCTCTCTTTCAGAAATTGAAATCCGTCGTTCTAAGCCCTTCAGTCTTCTAAAGTTCCACTTAAATGATCTCGTGTTATTCTGATGGTCCCACTTATATGTGTAACTCCCTTGTGTTTTTCTCTTGTCACTTTTGGTGGGAGCAAGCAAGGGACAGTTAATAGCCTAGACCCAGCAGGGTTTGGCTTATGCAAATCCTCCACTCCCATAATAGTGCACTTGGCAGCCCAGTTCCTTCTTCTTCAAGAACCATGCACCCAGAAACCTCAGGACCCCTCCACCCCCTGCCTGCTTCGGGCTGCACAAACACCCATCTTTGAACAATGCTAGAAGTTTCCCCAGCCCTGGTAACAACCAAATGTGGACAGTTTCTATCCAGGTATGTCCTCCAGGTATACAGCCTCAGGTCGACAAAGGGGCTGTCTGGCCTGAACTGTGTGATAGATCAGTTACTACAGACCAGAAACACCACGGGGCCAGGTCTCAGATTCAGACCCCTCACTCCAAGACACAGGACTTTAGTTTCCTCCGAAAACCTCCAAGAACTGCCCCCACAGCACGCAGCTAGAGCTGGGGACATCTGCCCTCTGGTTAGCCATGGTTCTCACGGCTTCCCCCAGTCTCCCCAACATGGAGTCTACATTACCCAGAATACTCTTTCTCACAGAGGTGTCTGAAAGAGAAAGTGACCCAAGCTTTGCCCTTTCCCACCCTCTCCCCTTGCCTTGTGATAGGCACCTGTGAGTGCAGGAGGAATGGAGGCTCCTCCTGAGCCTGACAGACAGGAGACCCAGCCCCAGACACCATCTCTCCCCTACCCGGCCCCGCCCAGAAGTCTGGGTGGAAGATGCTGAGGTCATCAGAGACAGCCGGCTGCCCAGGATAACTGGGGCCCTAGGAAGGAGAGCCAAATGTAGCCACTGGGTGGAGGCCAACAAGGAAGTTTTCTCCATTTATGTCCTGAAGGAGGCGGCTTCTCTGGGCACAAGGTGGGCCTGAGGCTACAGTGAGGGGGTGTGGGTGCTCTAAGTGCCCAGAGGAGCTGGCCAAGTCCCAGCAAGCACCATCAGAAGGCCCTGCAAACCTAGTCGTCTCACAGGGGCATCAGTGTGGCCGCCACCCTGTCTGTCGTTGAGACAGGGTTTCAATATACCCCAGTCTGCGCTAGACTCTGTGAGAGACTAACCTCGAACTTCTGACCCACCTGTCTCGGTTCATCTCCTGAGTGCTGGGACGACAGGTGTGTGTGTGACCACACCCAGGTGACACAGCACGTGGGCTTCCTTCATGCTAGGCACACACTCTACCCCCTGTGTTACATTTCCCGCCTAGACAGTGGCATTCTGTCGTGGAAGGCCCCCGTGGCCATGCTGGGACTCCCCTGGTCCTGAGTCCATGCCACACTTCACTGTTGCCTGGCCTGGGGGCTGGCACACCCCATTCAGCCGCTAGAGGGGACCCCCTAGCTCTCTGCCTTGACCCCGTTCTCTCTCTCCAGTCGCGGATCTGAGCTCTTCTCTTCCTTCACGTCTCAGTCTCAGCATCTCCTGCCCTGCCCCACCCAGCTTCCCATCTCCGTGCCAGGATGCTCTGCTCTGAGGTCCTTCTGTCTGCCTGCCTGTCTGTCTGTCTCTCTTACTCTCTCCCCCACATCAAACTTCAGCTCCAAGGTGGCTCTTTACCCCCATCGGCCTCCCTTGTAGACCCGAGCCACGCCTGTCTGGTTTTCTCCCACACAGATCCCTTCTGTTACCCTTCTCTCCACAGAGTATCGGGCCTAACTTGGTCTCTGATCCAATGGGAACAAGGAAGGACAGAAACTTTTACCCCCTAATGCCTCAGGCCTGCACAGCGTATGTGCTAGCCAGACTGCCAGAACCTTCTGGGGGAACTGGCTCTCACCTGGACCCACTAAATGTTTCCGGAGGGAAACACTGGCTCTAATAGTAACCCTCTCCCAGGTACCTCTGACGCTCTGGCATGCAAGGGCATTGAAATATCTATTTGGGGAAGTCAGGCTGCTGGACACAATACTAGGTGCTCACTTAACATCTAAGCCTGTGTGGCTGTTACCAGTTGGGCTCCCCCAGACCCTCCGGTCCACTGTCCACAGGGGTAGGTGTCTTGTGCTCTGGGGACAGCCACAGTCACAGTCTGGAAGCCTCACACCAGGGTTTCCTTCTATGCTTGCCTTAAGGGATTCTAACCCGGCTGGCCACAGTCATGGGGAACCTTAACTCCCAGTTCTTCCTCACCCATCCTAGACAACCAGCCCCAGGAAACGGCTGGGGTGGGTAAGGCAGAAAAAGCCCAGGGCACTGGGAAGCGAACTTGACGACAAGCAGACCGGGTGTGTCTGCCTGGGCAAGAGGCCTCTCTGAGCCTCACAAGCCTGAAGCCATTTCCTGGCGGCCTCCATGTTTGCAGGGCCAGCTTCAAGGAGCTGAGGAGAGTTAAATATAGTCTCGGGCTCCCCGCTGCTCCACCACCAGCATCCACACCCGAGAGTGCCACCTAGTGGCCGGCTCCAGGCTCCTTGGTGGGATAGAAACCATCTCAGGGGAAGAGTGGATCAAGATGGCTGCCCAGGAAGCACTGAAGGGGATGGGGGAGGAGGGAGGAGGCGAGCAGGCGTGCGATCCTCCCCTCCCTGCTGGCCACTAGCCCATTCCTACGGGTTGCCAAGTCACCTCCAACATGGCTTCCCCAGAAAGCTCCAGTTGAAGCCTGGAGAGGGGCCGTGAACCTCTGGAGCCGACCCTCAACAAGTCAGTCAGGCTGCAAAACTCTCCCAAAGCCAGGAGCCGCCTCCACCTCCCTCGCCTGCAAAGACAGCGTCCTGCCATCAGCAATGGTTTCCAGGGAGATAAACCCCTTCGTGTTTTTTTTTTCCTCTTGAAGGAATTAGGAAAGAGACGCCCAGCTTCTTGCAGACCCCAATCCTTCCCCAAAGCTCCTTAAACCTTGTTTAAAATGACGGTAGCTGGCAGCAAGCTTGACCCCCCACTCACCGAGGGCTGGTTAAGCCACCACAGGCCATCCTTCCCACCCACCTTTTCAAAGAGACAGAATAAATAAATAAATAAATAAATAAATAAATAAATAAATAAATATTGTGAAGGAATGGCAATGCTGCCCTCATGCTTGCTCTGTGCTGCAATGCCGCTGGGCTGGCAGCTCAGAGAGGGGCGGGTCACCCGCCTAAGGTTGAGAACAGGACTCCAAGGTAGGCTGGAGCCCACAGCTTTCAGGCCTGTGCAACCGGCGGGGGGGGGGGGGGGGGGGGGGGGAGCAGGTTGAGGAGTGGAGGCAAAGCAGCGACTGGGCAAGCCTAAGGACCTGGGTTCGGATTCCTGGTGCCCACATAAGGAGGATTCAGATCCCCAGTGCCCACATAAGGAGCTGGACACAGCTGCACACTTGTAATGCATGCTGGGGGTCTAGATAGGAGGATGTGGGGGGCTCGCTGGCTAGCTTGTCTAGCCAAAACAGGTGATCTCTAGGTTCCATGAGAGATCTTGCCTTAAAATAAGGTGGAGGATGGTTGAGGAAGATGCCCAGGTTGACCTCTGGCCTCCACATATTCCAGCAAGGCTGGAGATTTCTCTGTGTAGCCTTGGCTGTTCTGGAACTTACTTTATAGACCAGGCTGGCCTCAAACTCAGAGATCTGCCTTCCTCTATCTTTTTCAAAAGTAGATAGCTCAGCGGTTTAGAGCATTGCCTGCTCTTCCAAAGGTCCTGAGTTCAATTCCCAGCAACCACATGGTGGCTCACAACCATCTGTAATGAGGTCTGGTGCCCTCTTCCGGCCTGCACACAGACAGAATATTGTATGCATAATAAATAAATATAAAAAATAACAACAAAACTCTTTGTAACCAAGTGCAAAGATAAACACAGACCGAAAGGGAAGGCCTTCTGGGGCCTGACGAGCGGCAGCCGGGAGCCATGCTCATACTAAGGTTGCTTGGTGAGGGCTGGAAGCCAAACCTAATTTATCAGCAACCCCTGCCTTTAAGAGCCATGTCCTGTGCAGGCCTGCACCCTATGAGGGGCCTGCTGAGCCCTGTTAGGGGCTGGGCATGGCTGTGACAGGGACTTAAATGTCCAGAATGGCTAGAAGCTTCCACAGGTGGGCAGTGACTGAGATGAGTGAGAAACTCCTGAGGGTCGGTAGGGGCGAGGCTCTGTGGTCAGCACAGGCCAGGTGTCTGAGGATAGGTAGAGGTGAGGCTCTGTAGTCAGCACAGGCCAGGTCTGAGGGTAGGTAGGGGTGAGGCTCTGTGGTACAGCACAGACCAGGTCTGAGGTAGGTAGGAGTGAGTGTGGCTCTTTGGTACAGCAAAGTCCAAGTTTGGCTTAGCAGGCAAGTGGCCCTGGCTTCTATCCACAGCTCCACAAATAACCCAAAACAAAATAAACAAGAAAAATCCAGAAATTCTAACTTTGTGGGAAACACCCTGACAATTTTCAAATATCGACTGTGTTTGCTTGTTTCTCTGTGGGACAGGGTCTCACTGTGCGGCCCTGGCTGTCCTGAAACTCCCTGTGTAAATCAGGCTAGCCTTGAACTCATAGAGATCTCCTGCCTCTGCCATCTTGGTGTCTTGGTGCCCGCATTAAAGGCACATGACACCACCTCCCACCCAGCATACACATTTAACTAGTCACAGACCAAATAAAACGGGACCCCGCTTCAGAAGCCCTGTGGGTACCCAGTCCTGACTGCTGCCCACTTGTGCAAATCTGAGTCTGGTCCTTTCCTCTCAGACAGTCAAAGCCAGCATGGGCAAGCTGTCTAATTACCAGGCATGGAAGACCAAACTCACCCAGGGTATGAGCCCTTTCTCCAGCTGACCCTGTCTCTGTTGTCTGACCCCACACCTGAGGGCTCCCAGGCAGGCACTTGTCCCCCTAGGAGAACAAGCAGATCAAGTCCAGCGGCTGCCAGCATGAGCCGCTCCCACCCTACAACACAGACCAGTGAGCAAACATCTCTCCCCAACGCGGTATAAATAGGGCCAGGTATGATCCAAGTCCTGGGCCCTTAGAACAACCGGACCATTTCTGGGTGTACCGCATAGAGTCCACAGAAAAGGCCCTCAGGGAATGGGAGGCAGGAGGCATGTTAGCAGGCACCGACCCCAAAAAAGATCACACGAAGAGATCGTGGGTGACGGTGGCACCGTGGGGGCAGATCCTGCAGGCCACTGAAGCAGGAAAGAAGCAGCCACCGTTCCTCTGTCCCAAGGAACTGGAGAAGCAGGTGGAGGGGTGCTGGGGACCCCTGGGAATGGCTCTGCCCCTGCATAGGGCCACCAAGGCCCAGTTGATCCTGAGGGACCATTTCTTGTGAGAATCAGTTTTGTTTACTTTGTTTTTAAACCAAGGTAGTTCGCCTGCAAAAACAGTTTCATTTCCTGAACCTCCTCTTCCTGCTACATGTTCACTCACTGATCACATCAGATTGTGATGTTGAGTCTCGGTCACCAGTGGGACCTGGGGTAGTACCCAGAAGCAGGGAGGAACAAAGACAGGCTTATTGACTGCCCACTAATGGAGGGGTGATCCCAAAATATTTCCAACCCACAGGAAAGCACTCAAGGGCTGTCACCCCACCAGGCCCACAAATCACTCACAAGACAATTTTCTCAAGGTAATCTCCTAAGTGGCCTTAGACAGGATCCCGCAGGCCACAGCCCACGCACCTTTTCTTTGGTCCGTCTCTTTGTAAACTCCCTGGGCATAAATTGTTCCGCTCAGAGGGGAAGGAGGCACAACCTCATTTAAGGGACGGAAAGGGGACAGCCAGTGAATCATGCTTTCTCTTTCTTCTTTCCCGTTGCCCCTTCTGATAAAATGTCATTCTGAGCTTGCCAGTTGGGTGGGCAAACACCTGGAAGGGCTGGCACTGCCTATGAGTGAGGGACAGAAAGCTGTTCTGCCCATGGTCACTTCCCACTCAAAAGCAAAGACAGGTGTCCAGTGGCTCAGGTCAAAGATTTCAGGGCTCCCCAGCCTCTCCTTTCTCTTCAGTTTCCAGCCATTTAGTCAGATAGCTGGTCCTTGATTTTTCCCTCAGAAGGAAGGCTCTCTCCACCTCCCACCACCTCTCTTCCTCCTGCTAGGACTGGCACCTGAGGCCCTCTTTTGACCTCTGTGGGCACCAGGTATGTATGCAGTATGCAGACATATATGCACGTGACACACTCATACACAATATAAAACATAAAATTTAAATAAAAAAAGAAGTAGAAATCAACTAGGCAGGTTGCAGGTCTTGCAGCTCACCAGGAAGGGAAACAAGGTCATACATTCAAGGTCAGTTTGGGCTGTGTAGTCTGGGCCTTTTTATCTCAAAAAAAAAAAAAAAAAAAGCAAAGCCAGGTTCCTTGAGATGGCTCAGTGGGTAAAGTCACAAGCAGAGCTAGCCGGACAGTGTGAGTTCTGTGATGGAAGAAGAGAATGGGCTCCACACAGTCACCATGCATGCATGCACCTGCGCATATAATTAAAACACACTTTGTGGTTTCTCGAGACAGGGTTTCTCTGTGTAGCCCAGGCTGTCCTGGAGCTCACTCTCTCTACATCAGGCTGATCCTGAACTCACAGAGATCTGCCTGCCTCTGCCTCTGCCTTCTGAGTGCTGGGATTAAAGGTGCGCACCACTACCACCCGGCTTCTCCAGCCGAGAATTCCAGGCCACGTGTTTTCACCATGTTCTCCTCTTTGATCATGTTCTTCTCCCTCTGATCCCTCCAGATGCACCTGCCACTCAGTCCTTCCCAACTCCATGGCTACCTTTTTCTCCCCAAAATAACCTGCTGAGTCCAATTTGTGCAGTCTGTTCATGCGTAGGTGTGGAACATTCTGCTGGATCATGAAAGACCTACCATACATCAACACCTTTATGGAAAACTGACTCTCCTCCCTCCCAGAAGGCATCAGCTGCCAATCATTTCTCAAGTAGGGGTGAGGGCTGTGAGCCCCTCCCTGCTCCATGTTGACTGCTTGGTCTTAGGTAGGGCCTCGTGCTGGCAACCACAGCTGCTGAGTTCATGAGTTCAGGGTCCTGTCACATCCAGAGGCCACTGTCTGGCTCGGGTCCTTCATGACCTCTGACCTTTACAGCGTTGTCTCCACCCCCCTACCCCCAATGGAATTCTTCTAACCCAACGCCTACAGCTGGAATGCCCCAAGGCCAGCGGGTCAGAAGGCAAGACACAGCCCAATTCTTGCACAGGTTTGCAAGCTGGACCGGGAGAATAATCCAGGTTTCACAATGACACAGTCTCGCTCTGTTTTCTTCGTTTAACACCATCTTTGACTAATTTATGTTTCCATGGTGTCTTAGGGTTTCTATTGCTGTGAAGAGACACCAGGGCCACGGCAACTCTTGTAAAGAAAAGCATTTCATCGGGGCTGGTGCGCGTGTGAACTGATCTAGCAGAGTACAGAGTTCTGTCTCTGTCTCCAGGACGTCAGTCACATTTAACTCAGGCCCCAGAGCTCTCTCAGCCCTCCCTGCTACCTCATGCAAAGACCATGGATGTGAGAATGCCTTGGTTCTTCATTTCTTCCCTCCTGGCCTCTCTGTTCCATGTGAGGAGATGGAACTCAATCTAAACCTCTTTCTACAGCCCCAACCACAAATCAAAGTTGGGGTACACCAAAGCTCACCCCTGGAAACTAGTGAGTTTACTGGGCTTGCTTACAGAGCATGGGTGAGGGGTTACTGGCTGGAGGATGGGGGATCCCAAAGCAGCAACTTTGGTAGCTCACTCCACAATGGCTGAAGAGTTAGCCCTACTGTGTGGATGGGTCCCCTTTTCAACGACCCTTCCACAGCCTATATACTGGAGCACCTCCCCAGACCCCCAGGGAAAGCAGATCTGCAGACATCCAGACATGGAGATGCACGCCTTCAATCCCAGCACTCAGGAGGCAGAAGCAGGAGGATCTCTGTGAGTTTGAGGCCAGTATGATCTACAGAGTGAGTTCCAGGACAGTCTCCAAAGCTACAGAGAAACCCTGTCTCAAATAACAAAGACTGCAGGGGCTGGAGAGATGGCTCAGAGGTTAAGAGCATTGCCTGCTCTTCCAAAGGTCCTGAGTTCAATTCCCAGCAACCACATGGTGGCTCACAACCATCTGTAATGAGGTCTGGTGCCCTCTTCTGGCCTGCAGGCAGACACACAAACAGACTATTGTATACATAATAAATACATAATAAACAGACTATTGTATACATAATAAATAAATAAATAAATATTAAAAAAACAAAAACAAAGACTGCATACAAATGACTGTGAGGAGCCAGCTGAGTCTCCGGTGGGAGCCCGGTGACCCTGCTCCTGTAAGGGAGGTCTCTACCACTGAGCTGTGCCGGCCCCCTTCAAATGAACTGCTGTCTCTATTGGTGTGTGTGTGTGTTTCTGGGACTGGCACATGGTACCCAGGGCCTTGTACACAGCAGACAAGAATTCTACATGGGACCAACAACCCCAGCCCTTGATTTTCTGAGACAGGAGCTTCTTATACACAGCCAGGGCGAACTCCTCCAAGCTCTCTGTCAACTGCTTTACACCACCAACAGTGCCACTCATTTCATAGACCCTGTCCCACTGTGGGGGTCCTAAAAGAGAGCGGGTGTAGAACTCGGGTGGGTGACTTCAGTCATACACCGCAACAGACCACCCGCCACAGCTGGAGTCCACTTTGAGATCTCCTCTTTTTGGTTTTGGCTTTTTCAAGACAGGGTTTCTCTGTAGCTTTGGTGCTTGTCCTGGAACTAGCTCTTGTGGACCAGGCTGGCCTCGAACTCACAGATATCCTCCTGCCTCTGCTTCCCAAGTACTGGGATTAAAGGCGTGTGCCACCACCACCAGGCTGAGATCTACTTTGTTTTTATGCGTTTAAAATAGAACCTGTGACCAGGACGCATATTTTTCTTCATAGCAACCATAGCTGCTCGGGGCCTCCAGGCTTCCTGGAACCCACGTAACCTACACACTGTTCCTGGCATCTGGCTCAGCCTGGGGAGAGCGGAGGGGGCTAAGACCCTGCAGCTGAACCAGGGTCTGCCTCCAGGGTCCTGTGTAGCACCAGGTGGTAACTCTGGACATTCTCGGTCTGCTGCACTGGAAACCTGGGGTTGCTGGGGTCCCTGTGCAGAGATGAGACTGTCGCGGGGATAGATCTCAGATGAGGATGAGTCCTAGGTAGTAGGGATGGGACCAGGGTGGGGATGGGACTAGGGGGAGAGGATATGAGCCCTGAGTGGAAAAGGGTCCAGGTGGGGAAGGGTCCCTGGCGGGATGGGTGGGGACGGTACCTGGGTGGAGAAGATCCGAGTGGTGTGGTGATGGACCTGGGAGGGTCTCTTGGTCTCTGCAACGGGGGTGGGGTGGGGGAGAGAGGGGTGTCAGACGTATCTCTGGGTAGCTCCGAGCAGCCACAGTCTGGAAAAGTTACCTCCTGTCCCCAACCCTGTTGATGGCATGGTGAAGCCAAGGTCGCTCTCGGTTCAAGGCCCCGACATGCAAGCTGGCCACCGCGCTGCCCCGCCGGGCTCTCCGCCCTTACCTCTGCCCGGGCTCTGGGATCAGAGAGAACGCGAATTCGTGTGTCCCACCGGCTCAGACTGGTCGTCAGAGTGCCACATCTGGAGGACGTCCTGTCCTGGACCGCTAATGTCCCGAGGCCCGCCTGGCGGAGGCGGAGCAGGTGCGAGCGCAGGACTCGGCGCCGGCACAGCTCCGCCCAGTGGCAGCAGGTGAGCACTGCAACGGCTGCGACCCGCGGAGCGCGGACTCTCGGAGCTCACCGGGTCTCTGCGAGCTTCTTCAACAGCCCAGCTCACACGCAGAGCTGTTCTGTACGCCAACTCCCGCTGCATGGCAGAAACCCACACGGAGCTTTTAAACCAGGCCAGGTGTTGTTGCTCACAGCACTCCCCAGATAGAAGCAGGGGATCGAGATATACGGGGTTCGAGACCAGTCTTGGCCTTGTAAGATCTCGTCACAAAAGCAGCCTCCCCACCCCACACACAAAAGACCTAATTAAGAGTCCTGGAAATTAGATTCCTTAGGGGTGGCGGGTAGGCAGCCCTCCTCCAGGCAGCTTTTATTTATTTTACAATTATTTATTCAGCGTGTGTGTGTGTGTCCTTCCAGCTTTTAAAATCAGTTCCAATCCCATCTCACAAAAGTAGAATCGTGCAGGTGAGAAGGCTCGGAGAAGGAAGGCGCCTGCAGCCAAACCTCAGGACCTGAATTAGACCACTGGGATCCACACACGGGAGGGAGACTGACTTCTCAAAGTTGTCCTATGACCGCCACACACCTGTGGTGGAATGTGTGCACATACTACATGAACACACACACTAATAAAATTAACGCCGGGCAATAGTGGCGCATGCCTTTAATCCCAGCACTCTGGAGGCAGAGGAAGGTGGATCTCTGAGTTCGAGGCTAGTCTGGTATACAAAGTGAGTTCCAGGACAGCCAGGGCTACTCAGAGAAACCCTGTCTCAAAAAACCAAGAAAGGGGCTGGAAAGATGGCTCAGAGGTTAAGAGCATTGCCTGCTATTCCAAAGGTCCTGAGTTCAATTCCCAGCAACCACATGGTGGCTCACAACCATCTGTAATGAGGTCTAGTGACCTCTTCTGGCCTGTAGTCATACACACAGACAGAATATTGTATATGTAATAATAAATAAAATAAATATAAAAAAACCAAGAAGGAAGGAAGGGAGGGAGGGAGGGAGGCAGGCAGAAGGAAAGGTAACAGATGTAAAAATATAGCACACGTTTGAAAAAGCTGCAGAAGGGAATTTGGTAAATCTGGAGCTAAAAACCACACTTCCTGGTGGCTCCTTCCCATAATTCCAACAACCTGGAAGCTGAGGTAGGAAGATTGCAGTGAGTTTGATGCCAGCCTGGGCTACATAATGAGAGTCTGTCTCAGAAAGAAAGGAAGGGAGAGAGGGAGGGAGGGAAGGAGAGGGAGGGAGAGGGGAAAAAAGAAAGGAGGAAAAAATAGAAAAGAAAAGGAAGCCCTGACTGTGAGCCGCCCAGGCAGGAGGATCACCTGGACTGAAGAGTGGGCCCGCCGCCCTGAAATACAAATGGGAAAATTCAAAAGGCAAAAGAGTCGAACTCTAGTCTAGTTTTGAATTTCCAGCTGTCTTTTAAAATATTACATTTACTTTCCAATGGGCTGATCTTGGGGTTGAGAATAAATACCCGCCGCCCTTGCCCCTTCTCCCCACTTTATATGCATTATATTCTATCTGGTACCCTTGGCGTCTAAACACACTTCATCTGACTGTTGTGAACTCTAGCGATGTTAGCGTTCCTCCTCCAGATGTGTGGCTGCTGGTTTTCCACATCCACCCGTGCCCTGTGACCTTCCGGCCAGCGTCTTCGAAAAAATTCTTGGCAAAATCCCAGGTGCTTGAATTCCTATTATAGAAATCCGCCTAGGCACACGTGGCCATCCATCCATCATAGTTACGACTTTCCCAGTTCTCGTCACATGGTCACCTGCTGTCTAACAAGCCGGCCAGGGCTGGGGACAGCAAAAAGAGCCCAGGCTGCCCTTGGGTGGCACTGAGTGAGTGGCTGAGGTCTGGCAGTGTGTTCTGCCGTCACCAGGCAAGGCTACATTGTGCGTGGCCTGGCCACGACGCTGTGGAGGGGCAGGATTTTGGGCTGAGAGAGAGGAAGTTGGGGAGCCGTGTGCTCAACGTTTGAATATTTGTGGTCTGTTTCTTTAGTGAGTTGGTTATAATAGACAACCTTTAGTGTGACCTTGGGAGGCAGAGGCAGGAGGATTATGTTTTTAAGGTCACCGCTGCCTAATGAGTTTGAAGCTGGCCTGGGCTAGATGAGCTCCTGTCTCAAAAAACCGACCTGGACTCTAAGTGTAAACCGTGAGCGGCTTGGGGAGACTTTTCTGGGGAAATTATCCCGTCTTCAAGAGTCACACCCTGGGTAGAGCTGGGGAGCTAGCAATCACTGAGCTTCTAGAAACCGGTGCCATTGATTGGTGTCTGAGACCCACCCTAGTTCAGAGCTTCACCTGGTCCCCCTGTGCCAGGGACCCTGCCCAAGGCCACAGGAAGGTTTTAAACAAAGGGTTGAATTTGCCCGGGGTCTAGCCTGACAGAGGGGGTGTAGCAGCGACCCGCCCCAAGGCTCTGCTAACGGAGGTCTAGCCCAGGCTCCCCAGCCCTTTGAAAGGCCAGGGAAGTGCTGTGCGCCTGAGGCCTGGAATGAAGCCTGCAGAGGCCGCACCCTGCCCAAACCAGTTTGAACCAGCTGTGGGAAGGAGCCGGGCCAATCCCTTCGAGCTCCCTCTGGCGCCCAAGTGGGGCTCAGAACTGCAGCGGGTTTTAGAGGTCTGCGCGGTTGGGGGCGGGGCCCCAGCGAGGCCTGGGGATGGGAGTGCGAATGCGCGAATGCGGGGTGGCGGCGATAGCAGGGTGGGGCGGTTGGGGGTGTCTGCCGGTCTCGGCCCGGTGGGGAGTCTCCCGGGAGCCCCAAGCTGTGCCCCAGGTCACGCCCTTCCGCTCCTGCACCTTCTGGCATTACCTCGAGGGCACAATGGTTGTCAACCTTCTTTTCAAGGTTCTCTTGGCTTAGACCTCAACACACAGGTCTAAGCCCTGTGGTGGTTGTTTGTCTGTTAAAGCCCCCTGTTGAGGTGGAGACAGGAGAGTCAAGAATTTAAGGGCATTCTTGGCTACACATCAAATTTGAGGCCTTGATATGTATACAAACCTATCTCAAAGAGCGAAAAGCAAAAAAAAAAAAAAAAAAAAAAAAAAAAAAGCCATCCTTCCCAGATTTGCCTGCACAGCGGAAACTTCTTTTTTATGTCACATTTTAATTTTGATTGCATTTACTTATTTATTGCTGTGTGTGGGTGTGCAGGTGTGGGTGTGCAGGTGTGGGGGTCAGAGGACAACTTGTGGGAGTCAGGTCTCTCCTCCCACCATCTAAGTCCCAGAGATTGAACTAAGTCAGCAGGCTTGGCTACAGACCTCGTCCAGACACTCTGAGTTAATTGGTGGGGAAGTGGGAGCGGGGGAGGGGGAGCCTTAGTGTTGAGCTTTGAATGACCCAAGGTCAGTCCCTTGTATCACGTTCTGGACTTCCAGGCCCTGCAAGTATCATCACACCAGTGGCCCAAGTGTCACCATGTGCCAGGCACTGTTCTCAGCTCACCGGGTCCCCATCCCACCAGTGAGAAGGTCAGCCCTGCCGTGTTCCCATTGTACAAGGTGGAGGAAGAGGAGGAGAGAGGTTGGGCCACGGGTCGGAGACCAGGACCCAATCAGGGACAGTCTGACACCAGACACACCTCGAGGCCACTGCCATCTTCACCAGAGCAGCTGTGACCATCCACAGGGGTCCCTCAAATAGGGCCTGCGACTGTTCTGTCTCAGGAGGGTCTGGACCCTCGCCTGAGATCCCAGCCAACTCCTCCCCAGCTGTGCACAATTCCGTCGCGGTGGCCTGTGGTCTGAAGAGTGTGTAGACCACGGGCGGATAATGACGGGGACTCCATCCACGCAGCTCTCGGGAGTCATCTCCCCTGTCGGGGACGGTGTTTGAGCGAGAAATGTCCCCTCATCCGCTCACATATTTGAACACTTGTCCTCCGGTTGATGGTGCTGTTTGGGAGGGGGTTATGGAACCTTTGGGAGGTGCAGCCTTGCTGGAGTAAGTACATCAGTCGGTCACTCACTCCCTGTTTGCTCTTTCTGCTTCCTGGGTGCAGTCGAGAGCCGGTCTCTCAGCCTCCAGCTCTGGTTGCCTGTGGCCGTTATGGCCCCCTCCTCTGGAACAGTAAGTCAAACCCAGCGTTCTTGTGTAAGTTGCCGTTGGCCATAGCGTTTTACACACAACGGAAAAGTAGCTCACAGGCCGCCAGCTGATTTGGGGTCACTTCGGTTCCTACTTGAAATCCCAGTAAACTCATTGGCTCAGCAAGCTGAACCTGCGTGTTCTGATTGGCCGACGGTGCCCTATCTAGAGTGAACAGGAATGGAACTCAGTTCTCTCCAGGCAAGTTCACCATCTGTCAGGTCCTGGATGGCTGCTGCCTAGGCCGGCCAGGTCTCAGGCACAGGGTGAATTGGCGTGTGACCATATCACACGGACAGCTTTTCTGCACAAAATACATGACTATCTGCCCCCAGCGAGCTCAGCGAGCCCCCAGAAAAAGCTGAAATCGTGGCTGTGAGATCCCTGTCAGGTAATCTTGCCATCAGCCCTGAGGACTTGACTTGGATCCCCGAGACCCACGTGGTGGAAGGAAAGAACTGATTCCTGCAAGTTGACCTCTGACCTCTACTACTCTTGTGCTGTGACAATGTACACACCCACAATAAACAATTCTTTTCTTTTTAAACAACAGCGGGAGGCTGATGTGGTGGAGCCCGTCTTTAGTTTCGGCACATGGGAGGCAGAGGCAGGCAGATCTCAGAGTTTGGGGCCAGCCTGGTCCACACGAATGTCCTCACATTCTGGGATATCTCTTTTTAGTTGCTGTTGTTTTTGGTTTGGTTTTTTGTTTGTTTGTTTGTTTTTAAGACATAGTCTCTCTCTGAGGAGCCCTGGCTGTCTGAGTATTGGGATTAAAGGTGTATGCTATCTCAACTAGGTCCTCTTGAATATGGCAGGCAGCTTTGGAAGGAACTCTTTCT